TTGTTAATAAATTTAACGATTGAAAGAATGATAAAGACAGTCGGAAATGGCTAGCAGCCATGGGCTATGATTTAATAACCAAAATAGAACATGTACTGCAGCCTTGAAAATAGTCGGTTCTTTATATAAAGCTCATAATCACTTTTGGAGCGGTATTTTGGAGTTTCTAAATACAGTGTGTTTTTGATAGTAAATATTTGCCAGTATTCTTACATTTGCATTTGTTATTGGCACATTTGTAGATTCGGGAAGTAGGATCAAAAGGACAAGCCGGCTTGTCCTTTCAGACAATTTTTTCTAAATAGTTGATATATTTTTGCTCATTAGGAAAAGCCACCAATAAGTCCAGTAAACTTTTAAAGTTTTGCTTGAGTTGAAACATTATGGGTTAGTTTTAGTGTAAAATTGTATATAATTGCCAAAATTTAATATCTCATGGATACTTTACCATTAATTTTATCAACAATTATTATTTTGCTAGTAATTGGCATAATTTACCTAATTTACTTTCTCCCAAAAAACCAAGAAAAACTGCTCAAAAATCGTCTTGATGTTCTCAATAATCAATCAAAAGAAGCCAACAGCCAGTCCAATAATAGCAAATCCGAAGAAAAAAGCGAAGAAGCCATTAAAACCACCCTTGAATTAAAAGAAAAAATAGAAAAACTGTCCGAAAAATTAAAAACTAGTGAAGAAATAAATAAAGTTCTGCTAGAAAATATTGATAAGAGCATTAAGGGAGAAATTGCTAATCAACAAAAACTATTCCAAGAAAAAAATAAAGAATTAAGCGAAAAACTCAACAAGGACGTAGAACTTCATCTTAACAGCAACCAACAACTAATAAAAACCCATTTAGAAAATTTAAATAAGGGGATATCACAGCCTTTGGAAAAACTCAATAGCGTTCTTTTACATTCCGGCAAACGAGGAAGATGGGGAAATACCAATTTAGACCAGTTGTTATCCATATATTTACCCAAGGAGGATAAAATCTACCAAACTGAATTCCAGTTGAAAAAAAAAAGGGCTAACGACAAAGGGTTAAGGGTAGATGCAATTGTTTTCAGTGTAAATGGTAAACACAACATTGCCATTGATAGCAAATTCCCTCTTGAAAATTATCTTTCTTCAGTAGATAGCAATTTAACCGAACAACAAAAAGAAGAATTCGAAAAGAAGTTTGAAAATGATGTGAAAGAGCATATTGAAAAAGTAGCCGAATATATTTCTGAAGAAGACGGAATAAAATATGCTGTTATGTTTGTTCCTTCCGAAGTTATTTTTAGCAAAATTAATGAACAAAGATTTTACCGAATTGTTGGAGTGGCTTTAGAAAAAAGGGTTTCAATCTGCTCTCCGGCAATTTTGCTAGTTATTATTGACCAATTATTATTATGAAATAAAACTTGAGAACAATATAAAGATTTAGACAAAATAACGGCGGAAATTGGTAAATTTTGAAATAACCTTCGACTTTTTAAGGAAAGATGGAACAAAATTATTAAGACGATTGAATACAACAATGAAAACATAAGAAAACTTGATATTAGCACTCAAAAACTAATTGAGGATGGAGAAAGAATTAAAAATAGAGAAAGTGCTTCATTAAAATCAATAACTGATGCCACTGCCGAAGCAGCAAAAAAATTGGTCGAAGATTTACCAAAAACTGATGAACTTCTTGAATAAAGACAAAAAATACTAATAATGGTTAAGGCAAAAAAACAAAGCAAAAAAGATACTCCAAAGCGACCAAATTCTGATGAACTAAACATTTATCAAAAATTAAGGTCAGTTCAAGCTAATGCTAACCATTTGTTTAAGGATAAAAACCATGGACATTTCACAGAATACCAAGTTTTAGGCTTGCTGAAACCACTTTTAGAAGAGGCTAAGTTAACTTTGAGTCTCAGTGATGATGCTAGTCAAGATTTTTTTTATGAGAGATTAGAAAATGGACATATAGTTCGCTATTTAAAAATCGCTACTTTGACTAATTCTGAGAAAAAAGAAGAGCAATTAGACTTCCGCTTTTGAGCGATAGGACAAAATATGGATGTTGCCAAAGCCAAGGGTTCGGCAGAAACTTATGCCATTAAGTATTTTTTGACCAAGTTTTTTTTGATTCCAATAGTTGATAATCTAGACCCTGACAATAGCAGTGTGCTAGCGAAAAATAAACAATAAAAAGTAAAATTTAATTATGCCTAAAAAAATCTCCTCCGAACCCGAAGCATGTGCTAAATGTCTCAAAAAATATGGTCAAGACTTGGAAAATTGAGAACCTTGTAAAAATTGTTCTTGAATCGCTAAATCAGAATCCGAAGACCCCTTAACTAAACAAAAAAAATCTAATGAAAAAACTTGTTTTGAATGCCAAGAAACTCTCAAATTCTTAGAAGTAGAAGAAGGTAAATATCTCTGCGGTAGAAATAAATGTTTAAGGGAATATATCAAAAAGAAAAGTTAAGGATTTAACACGTTTTTGGTTAGTGATTTAGTCTTGGCTTTGATAAAATATTAGATGCTCAGAATGAACTAGAAATTGTTAAAACAAAATATATAACTTTAAAATTCTTTAACATGCTAAAAAAAACAAATCCCACAAACCAAAACTCCATAGCCTAATGTAAAAGCACTACCGAGATATTGTTAATATCTTGCGGACAACTTTAGATATTGGAAAGTTAAACTCCAGTGAAAAATTTGATTAATTTAACATAAAATTTAATTGATTAGCAAACAACAAATATGAGCAAAATTCGACAAGTAAAAAATCAGCAAGAACTAAAAAAAGCTCTTCAAATTCTAGGACAAGGAATTGGACCGGTCCATATTAACGAAAAGGGAGAAATAATTATTTTTGACGAAAAAATTAAAAAAGAATTCAGTATAGGAAAATTAAAATCAATCAACCAAGCTCCCAAAAATGAAATTAAACAAGTCAAAAAATCTTACGGCATAAAGTAAAAATATATTATATAATCTACAATTGTTGATTGAATAGGCTAGTCAGTTAGTCGGATTTAGTGTGATTTCCTAGACTTGACTGGCTGGCGTATTGAGTTAGCAATTATGGAAATCACACAAACAATTCAACTAACTCCGCCTGTTAAATTTAGCAGACACGGAAAACACAAAAATCCTCACTATCATAGAGAATATTATCGTCAAAATAGAGAAAAGTTATTAACTTATAGCCATGATTATTATGGCGTTAAAAAAATCTTAACCTCTTGACTTAAAGGAGAAAAAGTTGGTGTTAAAAAATTTTTTTCCTCACACACGCATAATAATAACATACTCTCTAACAACATAAAGAACTTGTTTTTTTGTGAGGAGGAAGGAAGCAAGAGGGAGAAGTTGGGGAGAAGGTTAGACAAAGAAAGGTTAAGGCTAGCCACCAAAAATAAAAAACCATTAAAGAAATATTGGAATCAACCTTGGTTTAAGGAGTGATTAGATAAAGCGGGGTTGCTAAAAAGATATCAAGAGTGAAGTTTACGCGGAGGGAATAAGTTAGGAAACAAATATTTGTCTTTCTTGGATATTGATATTGAAAAGCCTGATTTAGAGGAATGAAGAAAAAGGCAAGTAAGAAAAAATGTTGCTTTGTTTTTAAGATATTTGGATTGTTTTTATGTAGAAACCAAAAGAGGTTATCATGTTTATATTCTTTCGGATGAATTGTTAACTAACGAGATGCTTTGTCATGTAGATAGTTGACTAAAACGCAGTAAAATTATTGGCAGCATTCAAAGTAAAGGTAAATATGTGGTAGGTTTTGAAAGTCCTGATAAAAAATTGGTAGAAAAGGGTAAGTGGTTTTGACATGTAAAAAATCTAGAGGAAGTAAAAGAGAAATTAGCAAAATTCTTTTTATTGGTTGGAAATCAAGACATAAAAGAATCGAAAATAGGGGAAAAAACTTGTCAGTTTCTAACTAGACAGCAGTTATCGCCGCAATTCAAATTTTCTACACAAATTAAAGTATTATCTACTCATGAGAAATTTGTTAATCGATTGGGTGAAGTGATGCGGAAAATTAGGTATTTAAGTAGGGTGGGCAAAAATGGTTATTTTCTCTTGAATGATTATCAAAAACCCAAGATTTTAGAGCAATTGCCAAGGGGAAAAATCCTGAATTTGGGGCTGATTCAGGGGAATAAGCATGCTTTCTTTAATAGAATATATTAAATACCGAAAGCGGTATACATATGGTGGTAGCGGTAAAATTATATATATGAAAACTGAAAAACAAAAATTCAAAGAGTTCTTAAAAAAAGCGGAAGACCCCAACTACCAAAGAGAAATAAATAAAAGTTTGCCGGAAAATCCGTCTTCTTTACAAGTAGCCAAATTTAAGCTTTGTAAAAAAATCCTTGGTTATAAGTTAGATAATAATTTAACTAGAGAACAAATTGCCGACAAGATTCAATTAAGCAAAGCGGAAACCGAGGATATTTTGTTTTGTGAAATTGAAAAATTTACTCTTGACCGCTTGACTGAATATGCGAGTAAGTTATTTGCTCCTTGTGAAGTAGAAATTAATATCAAACCAAACACTTATGCCCGAGTTTAAGTTAATCAAAAAGGAGTTTTCAGATAAATTTCAAGAGTGATGGTGAACTTATGAATGCTTGTTTGAACTTATTTTTAACAAAAAAATAATTAACCATATAACTATTACTAGTTATTATCAAACTAAACCTGGTAGAGAAATGATTACTAGTGAATTGGTTTTAGAATTATTAACTAAGTTAAACAAAGAAATTTTGGAACCAATGGAATATGATGGTGATCGGGAACCATATGAATGAGAAGTTATACATCAATTTAAAACTTATCGCTTGTTTTTTTGATTCAAAGATGGCACTGTTAATCATTTGTGGATTAGAAACTGTCACAGGATAGAGTAATATGGTAATAGTCGCATTCATCAGCCAAAAAGGCGGGGTAGGAAAATCAACCTTAGCCCAAGCACTAGCCAGCGAAGCCAAAAAAAATAAATTTAATGTTTTGTTAGCTGATTGTGATAGCCAACAAGCCACTAGTTATGAATGAAGTAAAATTCAAGGTAAAATTTCTTGTCAAGTATTTAATTCAGTAAAAGAAATTTGACCTTTGGTTAGGCAATACGATTTAATAGTAATAGATGCACCAGCGAGAACTAGCCAAGGAACTTTGGAAATAGCCAATCATGCTAATCTAATAATTCAGCCAACAGGTGCTAGCCGAGCAGATTTAGTGCCAGCAGTCAAAGAATTCCATGCCCTCAAAGAAGCAGGAATAGACAAGAAAAAACTTTTATTTGTTCCCGTGCGTCTCTCTAACCAAACCGAAGCCCAAGTAATTCAAGAATACTTAAAAAAAACTGGTTATGCTTGCTCTCCTTTTTACGTGATGGAAAAAGCCTCTTATAAACAAATCCAAAATGAGGGAAAAACCATTACGGAGGTTAAATATAAAAAACTAGCCCAGCAAACCCAAGAGTTAATTGATAGCCTGCTGGACTATTTATAGAAATCGGTAGATTTAAAGCGGTATCTGTAAAATATATTTATGAATAAATGAGAAAAAGTTAAGAAATTACGAAGTTTAGAGATTTTGGGAGAAGCAACCCAAGAAGCTAGCCAAAATTTACAGGCTCCGGAAACTTCTCCTTATGACAAAAGAATTACCGGACGCATTAAGCCTTTATCTTTAAAAGCCACTCCTGATTTTCATAGAGAATTAAAAAGAATGGCAACAGACGAAAACTGTTTAATGATTGAAATATTGGAGAAAGCATTAGAAGCCTATAAAAAAAGCTTGCTTGCTGAAACTAAAAACAACATTTCCCCAAAAACCCAACCAAAACCAACCCAACCATTAAATCGTTTCATTAAAGTAAACTTCAATTGTGATAAATGTTATCGAAAGTTTGAAAGAGATACAGTTTATTCTCCGGCTCCTAATTTAGACCAATTAAAAAACTATCCTACTTACTGCACTGATTGTGGAGAGAACGAACCTGAATTTTGTTCCTTTCACACGGAAACTAACCAAGAACCCTGTCCCCATTTTGTTTTTGATAAAAAAAAGCAATTATGTCGTTCACATAATAAACAGGTTTGGAAAAAATTCCATGAATTCACCAAAGATATGTCAGTTAGTAGCACGGCAGCTTGGTATGAAACTTGAAACCAATCCAGAGATTGAAAATATTTTTGAAATCTAGCGGAGGAAAAGAAATAATGAATGAAACACATCTCTCTTCAAATCTTTCCGAAGAACTCCAAGAACAATTAGCCCAACTAAAAACTGAGAACAAATTTCTCAAAAATCAGTTAGAAGAAATTTCCCAAGGAGGTATTAAAATAATATTCTCGGGAAAAGTTAATGCCCAAAGAATAGCCAGAAAAGTAAAACCGAGAACTCTAAGAGAAATTTCCTCTTTGAGTATTGGCAATGAAGAACAAAAATCAAAAAATCTCGTCATCGAAGGTGATAATTTGCTCGCGATGGCTACTTTATATCAATATCACGGCAAAATTGACCTAATTATTGCCGACCCTCCTTATAATACGGGCAAAGACTTTCGTTATAATGATAAATGAGATAAGGATCCAAATGACGAAGGACTAGGAGAATATGTAAAAGCAGATGACCCCTCTCGCCATACTAAATGAATGAAGTTTATGTTGCCAAGGATACAAATGATGCGACAAATGTTAAAAAATAATGGTGTTTTGGCTTTTTGTATAGATGAAAGAGAATTATTTAGACTGGGAATGATGTTAGATGAGATTTTTGGTGAAAAGAATAGAATAGCCATAATTAACTGGCAAAAACTAGGTGGTCCAAAAACTTATACTCATGTCTCTCCGGCTACGGAATATATTCTCGTTTACGCCAAAGATTTGGAAAGAGCTGAAACTAACTTAATGCCTCGGACTGAGGATTATTTAAAGCAATTCAAAAATTCGGATAAAGACCCACGAGGACCCTGAATTATCGGTGATTCAAGTTCCCAAACCCCTACTTATAGTATGGTTTATGGTATTCAGAACCCTTTCACCGGAAAAATTTGCGAACCGCCAACAGGAACCCATTGGCGGTTCGCAAAACCGCGAATGAAAAGTTTCTTAGAAGGCTGAGGTTCTGAATATGAAGAAGTGGATATTAAAGATGGGAAATCACCAGCATTATTAATTAAAGGCTTCTCGATTACTAATCTCGAAAATCCACTCCAAGACCCAGTAATCAAAGAATCATCTAAAAAAGCTTATAAAATCCTAGAAAAAGGACCTTGACCCAAAATAATATTTTCTCATGGAGGTAAAGGAAAACCGCAACAAAAACGATATTTAGCCGACATGAAAGAAGGACATGTGCCAATAACTTATTGAGGAAAGGAATACTACGAAAACCCTATTGAATTAGGAGTAGTAAGTTGAGAACTTTCTCAATCCGGAACCACAGCGGTCGCTAGTAGAGAAATAAGTCGGTCAGTTGGAGCCGGACATGGATTTGAAACAGGAAAACCACTCAAACTTTTCCAAAAAATTATCCAACTTTGATGCCCGCCGAATGGCATGGTTTTAGACCCTTTTGCTGGTTCCGGAACTACCGGAGAAGCGGTTTTATGATTAAATAAGGAAACTAATACCAAGAGAAATTTTATTTTAATTGAGCAAGGAAATATTAAAAATGGAGATGACTATTGTCGCACGCTTTTACAAAGAAGACTACAAGCCGCTATCACCGGTAAATGAGCGGACAAAAAAGAACATGAATCTTTGAATGGCGATTTTACTTTCTACTCTCTAAATAAAACTATTGATAATCAAACTCTCCTTGAAATGAAAAAAGATGACTTAATTGATGCTATTTTGGCTAGCCAAATGGAAAATAATTGAACTAGAATTGAAGGATATCAATATCTTTTTGCTAAAAATTATGAAAATGAAGGAATATTTTTAATTTGAAACGGGAACAGTAAATCGCAACTAACCCAAGAAATTTATTATCAAATCGTTCAAGAAACCCAACAAGCCAACCTTTCCTCAGAAAAATATATTATCTATGCTCGTTTATGTTCTTTTCGCTCAGAAAATGTTGAATTTAAGCAAATACCTACCGAAATCTTAACCAATTTTCGGATCGTTGAATAAAAAATATGCCAATTACTAAATTACACAGCTATCAAGAAGAAGCAGTAAATGCCATTAACGAAAAATTTCAGCAATATTTAGATAATCCTCCGCTAACCGGAACCGAAAAAAATCCTGTTCCAATACCTTTCATTTATTCTCTAAAATCAATTACTGGTAGTGGCAAAACGGCGATGTTAGCTACTTTAACTAGCCAGTTAAGCGAGAGTTTATATTATCCAATAGTTCTCTGAATGAGCCAAAGTAAAGTAATTGTAGAACAAACTTTAACTAATTTAAGTTCGGGAGGAAAATATAATTCACTTTTAAATACCAAAAGCGAAGTTTACTCTATTAATGAACTAATTAGTGGCTTAACTACTCCTTTTTTAAATAATCCTAATCCCATAATTTACCTAACTACTACTGGTGTTTTCAATGTTCAAACCAAAGAAGGACGGTTAATTTATCAGTCTGAACGAGCTGACCATACTAATAGTTCAATTTGAGAATTGTTAATTACTCGTCTCTTTCGCGAAAAAAAAAGAGGTTTAATTATCATTTATGATGAGGGGCAACATTTGACCGAACAGCAAATCAATCGCTTATTAGAATTAACTCCGAATGCTTTGATTTTGGCTTCTGGCACACCGAGCCATTCGAAAAGATTAGTAAAGGAAATTCAGAAAGCTAATTGAAAAGTAGAAGATTTGGTTTTTGCAGTCTCTAATAATCAAGTAGTCGCGACCGGCTTAATTAAAAATAAGTTGCGAGTGATTGGTTATGAATCACCCCGGGAAGAAATTTTAAATAGTTTGATTGTTGATTGAAAAAAATTAAATAGTTTAGCAGTGAAAAGGAACTTAAAAGGTTTAAAAGTTATCTACATCTGCAAAACTAATGTTCTTGAAAAAGAAAAGTTTGAAAAAGATAATAGTAGTTTACCTTTCGACCAACGAAAAGCTCCTGCTATTCTAATTTGAAAACATTTAGTAGAACACTGCCGAATAGAACCGAAAAAAATTGCTGTTTGTGCTAATTTAGAGTTTAAAAAAGATTTTCCTCTCCCGGCGGACTTTGCTCTTTTTGATGGTCAAAATAGCCAAGATTATCAAAAGTTTTTACAAGGTAACTATCAACATATTATTTTTAATAAAAGTTTATTAGAAGGTTGAGATGATAATTTAGTGAGTTTTGTCTACATTGACCGCAGTATTGGGAGCGATATTCAAGCTCAACAGTTAATTGGTCGAGCTTTAAGAACTCCGCAAGGAAAACATTATCGCGGTCAGTATAAAGATTTAAACACGGCTTATTTTTATATCAAAACTAGCAATAAAGAATTTAGCGAAATTGTTAGTAAAATTAATAAAGAATTGGAGAATATTAGTGATTTAATTAAATTAGATGTTCCCACTAAGGCGGAAAAAAAGAAGTTAAGTCCGGTTTTGGTAAGAAAGGAAAGATATTTACCCCAAATTGCGGTGATTAACCAAACGGCAACTGAATTAGCTATTCGCCATATTTTAATTAATAAAGTGAAAGATTATTCTCAGGTTGATCTCCACGAGATAGAACCCGAGGATAAAAGAGCAATTATGGATTATCATATTGGCAAAAATACTCCTTTAAAGGTTATTTGAGAAAAGTTTTCGTTTAGCAATAAGGTATCAGTAAGGAATGTTTTGCGAAGGAGTATTATGAATTGGAATTCTCGGGCACTAGATTTAACTGATTTAAGTAGTTTAGAGTATAAAGAAAAGTTAGATTTTTTAATTGGTCGGAATTCACCAGCGGAGAAAGAATTAAAAGAGATTGCCAGAGAGATTGTTGATACTTATTTAACGGTTATTCAATTAATTACTCAGTATGACGAACCTTTGCTAGTGCCAGATATGAATGTTAATTTAACTGATTGCTATGAATTTGAAAATAGTCTTCATAAGTTTTATAGCAATTTAAATCCAATCGAGTATGAATGTGCGAGAATGATTGATGAGTTGGGTTATGATTGAGTGCGAAATCCCGTTTTTATTGGTTTTGGAATTCCGTTGTTAAGTCAAGGTTTTACAAAGAAATTTTATCCAGATTTTTTGGTTTGAGTGGAAGATGATACTTTGGTAGCGGTAGAAACTACTGGGAAAGAATTATTAAAGGATAAGTTGGATAGGAAACTGTTTACTATTGAAAGTTTTGATTTAGGAATGGTTCCGGTGGGACAAAAAATAATTCCGCCACGGAAAGTTCGGGTGGGAGTAATTGTGACTACTGATGTTTACGGAAAGTATCGAGTTTATTGAATAGGAGAAGGAGGAGAGTTATTTAGTAGTGGAATAATGGATATGGAAGAATGTATTAAGACAGTATTGGAGGGAGTGGGATAATTATGGCTAAAAGTTCTAATGTAGTCGAAATAGCTCGCAATAAAGAATTAGTTCGTCATTACCAAAGCCAAATTTTTAGGCTTAACCGACAACAAAGATATCTCCATAGTCAACTCGAAAAAATCCAAGCTCAAATCAAAGATTATGAAAAAGAAAAGAAAAAAGTGGAAAAGTGATTAGAGGAGAATAGATAAAAATTGCTGTTTGGTTGTTTTAATTCTTCCGAATGGGCTTTTTTCACCACCAGAAAAGAGCAATCAATCCACCAATTATTAAAACCAATAAAATCACCAAGGTTGTTATTAGCGAAATTTGTTAATAAAGGATAAATAAAAACATAAAAGATAAACACACTCTCCTTTAAAAATAGTGCCACAGAAGACCACCAAAATTATGAAACTCAACAGGAAAGAATTTGACCGGATAAGGAACCTTAAATTTTTGGATATTCAGGTTTGCAATTTTTGTCAGCGGGTCAACATACTTAATTTGGGTTGGAAGCCTTTCGGGAAGTTCTATTGTCGTTTACATGAAGCAGAGCATCTAGTTTGCCCTGAACTCTGTTATAAAGTCTGTTTGCGTATTTGGAACTGTCAACTGTATAAGAAAGTAAAAGAAAGCCAGAGAAAGCCCGTTGTCATCAATCATAAGTATAACCGAGCTAGCTGCTATTTATGCGGGAAGTGGTTAAGAGGTGCCGGGAAACATGGAGTAGTTAAAAACAGAAACAAACCCGAGCTTCTGGGGAATAGATACCGAGTTTAAAATACTGTGTCTAGGATGTTTAAAGAAAAAGTTTTACCGGAAACTAGGAAAAGAAAAGCGAAAAATGCTGAATAAGTATGTGAAGAGAGGTTATGAGTAAAAATCACTTAACCCATGAGCCAACAATGATTATTTAAAGATAACCAACAAGCTCAACAAGAATTCGCCAAAAAAGAAAAAGCATTGACAACCGGCATTTTGGTTTTAATCGAGCAAACTGTTTACCATTTTGAAGATAAGAAAGAGTGAGGAACTTGACAAGAAGAATTAGCCAAGAGCATCAGCGGTCAATATGCTTGGATCAATTTAAGTAAGTGGCACGAGTGATTGAAAGAAAGAGAGCAAAAATAAAACAACATGTTCGATACTAGCAGCACAAGCATAACTAATTCGCCACCAATAAAACTCTGAAAAGATTATTATATTTGTAAAAAACCGCGTTGTTTTGGTTGTATCGAACAAAGAATAGGCGAAAATGAGTATAAGTTTTGTTCGCAAGAAAAGCAACCCATAACTGTTTTGGATGAATGAGGAAAAAAACAGATAGCGGTATTTGAAAATGTTTATGCTTGTCAAGTCTATCACTGAACCATTTACCAAGGACAAAAAAACAAGAATAACAAACCCAAAAGCATCAGTGAATAGGGTTGTTTTAAGACGATGAACGATAAAAAAATATATCTAAATGCTTACTCTCAAAGAACAGATCCAAAACCTCGAAACTATTATCCAACAAAAAACCTTTGCCCCGGAGGACAAACAAATCTTATTAAAAGAAATTGCCAGATTAAAACAAACATTAACCGAGCAGAAGCAACCTTAGTAATTAGGAGTAAAAATTCTTTCAGCGAGAAAGGGTTAAATTTTATCTAATTTTTTTTATTTTCCCTTTCTCGCCATGAACCATCAAACTAAAATCAAAACTCTCCAACAAAAAATTCAAGCATACCAAGTTAAATATCCCAAAAGAGATGGCGAACAAAAGCATTATTTAAGTTGTCTGTGGTTGGAATTAGCCTTTTGACAATTAGTTCAGGAAGGAAAAGTTAAGCCTCATCCATTATGACCCAAAGTAGAAAAGTCTTGGGAACATTTAAAAGAAATTTACCGCAAAAAGGAGAAATGACCAAAAAGCCAATTAAGACTTTTTTTGTTAAAACAAAAGCCCGAGTATGCTGACTTGTTAATAAACCGAATTCAGCAAGAAACCAGACAAGAATACTTGGAATTGGCTGGATGATTGAAGAGTAATGAAAGAAAGAAAAAACCATAAGAAGAGTTTATTTCTAACTGAAATCAATAAAAACTTTATATGAAAACAGCCATAAAAGAGCAAGCTAAACCAAAGAGATTAACCGATAAGCAAATGCGGGAACTGCTGTTGAGTTTAAAAAAAGAAGCTGACAAAATGCCCGAAGAAGAAGACAGTTTTGGTGTTGAAGTAATTTGTAGCGGTAAAGACATGGCAAAGGGTAGTTCAACTAAACAAAAAAAATAGATGGAAACTTATTTCGAGCATTTAATTAATGCTGTTTACCACGCTTACCAGGACATTCTAATTAAGAAACACGGTAACATTTACCCCTTACGCTCAGCAATTATTAAATTTGGTGGTTTTCAATTGAGTTATAACTGACGTGGCAGGACTAGACTAGGAAAAGAGAAAATTGGCAATTTAACCATTTACACCAAAAAAATCCATTTAAATATTTTGTTCGCCTACTGTTTAGCAGGCTTAAGGAGTGATATTCCTAACTTTACTGAATTATTTAGTTTTCGCAAATTAATCAATACTATTGCCCATGAACTAGCCCATTGTCTTATGGCTAACTATAAACTAAAATTTGGTCAGAAACACGACCAAAGGCACCAAGAGTTAACCCAAGATGTCGAGGCTTTTTTGTGAACTCTCTACGAAATAAAAGAGTTGGAAAGACTACAAAACTGAAAAGAACTAATAAAAGGTCTGAAATAAGCCCGCCAAACAGGTTAAAAATATTTACCAAGTTTAAAGCCAAGAAATCAAAGTAACTTTGATAAAAATTTGCTTATATAGTTAGCAATATGAATAACAAAAATAAGCAAGAAAAGGTCTGAATTTTTAAGGAAATGCCCGGCGAAAAAGGCAAAGAAACAACCAAAAAAGACAAACTAGCCCAGTGATTTAGCCAAGAAATCGCTAGCCGAGAATACACCCAAAAAGAAATCGATGCTATGATCTACTTAACCAAACAAGGTAAACATGAAGAGGCTTGAAAGATATTGTTTAAAGGGCATAGATGTCCCAATACTTGCTACTGTCAAAAAGAAGCGAAAACTTGGCAAGAGAGAATGAAAAAAGCACAATTATTCCTTGAATTAGCTGAAAGAGAAAGCAAAGAAGCCGAAAAATTAAGAATAAAAGAAACTGCTCACTGGCTTTCCCAACAATTTAAACAATATCATGAATAAAGCCACCTTAATCAAAAAAGAACTTTTGCCGAATAACTTTAAACTTACCTTTAAAAACCAAGAAAGCAGCCAGTTTCTTATCCTTCACGAAGAACATAAAGAAATTTACAGCCAACTAGAACTAAATCAAGAATATTTTTTAATGGTAACATAACTACCAGTTTGAATTTCATAAGGTCTTAAATTAGCAGGTTTTTGGGGAAGTTTGACCATAAGGAATGTTGAATTTTACTTGACAGGGAACGTGTAAATTGTTAGCATAACTTGCTAACTCATCCAAAGTAAACTTATCAATGTGGCTATATAAGATATATTCAGCTTTGAGAGTAGTTATCCCTAATTGTTTAGAAATGTCTTTGCTGGCTAAATTATTTTCTTGTTTATAACGAAGGATGCTTTTACACAGTTTGTACTTGGCTTTATCCAAATCATTAGCCCAAGGAGCCAAACCTTGATTTACCCGGTGATAATTTGGGTCGGCAAATCTTTTGAGAACCCTTTGCATTTCTGTTTTTGGAGGAAAAGTAAATTGTTTTTGGTTTAATTCTTTTTTCATAAGTATAATATGTATTGTTTTTAGTTAAATTTTTATTGAGTAGTAGATTAAAATACTAAAATTATAAATACTATGAGTTCATTCGGAAAATGTGTTAAATGTGAAGAAGTAATTGGAGAAAAACTCCACGACCAATTTTATAGGATAGGTTATATCGGAAGTGGTGGAGACAATTATTGCCCTACTTGCTACGAAGCAAATAATCAAAGGATCAATTTAAAGATAAAGAAATATTTAAATTTGTAAAAGACAAAGATAAAGATGGTGTGTATCTTGATAGATGAACTCATCGGCAGATTCGGTGAATTTACCACTGCTTAGATTGTGGTGAAAAGTTTGCTACCGAAACAGAGCAAAAGAATTTACATAGTCCTTTAACCTCTTGCCAGCAACATAAAGATTTAAGTTCTAATACTAGTGTCTCGGAAGATACAGAAAAAGGAGAAAACAGCACAGAAGTCGACAATCAAATCAAATGTCGGGTGATACAAATAAAAACTACCTTCCTTGGATTTTAGGAGGAGTGGGAGTATTTGCCCTAATAGCAGGATCGATTTGATATTTTACAAGAAAGGAGAATAAATAATGCCCCAAGAAAGCTGAACAGAAATTCATCCTAAATTTGCCGAAAAGTCCTGAATTGATAAGACTTTTCAACAGTGATGAGAAGAAGAAAAATTTACATTCGAAGAAGCCCAAGAGTGAATTAAAGTTGATTTTAAACCGGAAGAAATCCTAGAAGTTAGAAGATGAAAAGAACTAGAATATACTGCCCAGGAAGCAAGGAAGTTAATAGAATTAGGTTTTTGATATGAAAGTATATACGGAAATGCTATAACTGATTGGAAAAACATTGAAAGTTGAAAAAATCAAGGTTTTACTTTTAAGCAAGTCCAAGAATGGGCTGAAGCAGGATTAACACCTGAAGAAGTTAGTTTTGCTGCCTATCTTCAAAAGCAAAACTTCACTCCTCAACAATACTTCCAACAAGGCAGAGATGCTCAACAGTGACTAAATTGACAATACCCTCTCGAAACTAGAAAAGAGATGACTAGTTTAGATATTATTGACAAAAACTTAAAAGGCTCTCTTAATCTCAACGATTTTGTTAATCTACAATCATTACGTAGTGGTGGTAACCAAATTACTTCTTTGGATTTAAGCAATTGTGAAAAACTTTGTGCACTTAATTGTTTTAGTAATTATTTTGCTTTTGCCAAAATTGGGAAAAAATTTAGTTGAATTAGATTTAAGAGATAACCAATTTACTGATTTAACTTTTCTTGGTCACTTAGAAAATTTAGAGGAGGTTTGGTTAAATAATAATCCCCTCAGTGGCGGCTTGGAACCTTTAAAAAATTGCCAAAAGCTAGAAAAGTTAGAAATTGAAAATACCAACATTAATTCTGGATTAGAATATTTGCCAGAAAACCTAGAGTGACTTCACTGCACTGGTGAATTGGCTAAGATTTTAGTAAATTCTTATGATAATGCAAAAGAACAAGAAGCAAAAGAAGTTGATAAAAAACAAAGCGAAACAGAAGAATATGAAGAATATGAAGAATATGGCAATTGTTATGACTTAAAGCCTTGAAGAGAAGACAATCAAGAATTAGTTGCTAAAACTCAAGCTCGTCTTTTGCTGCAAGAAGAACTCCAATCCTACCAACAAAAAATCCATGACCTAGAAAAACAACTCATCTTTACTGCTAGACAAAAAATTAGTCAAAAAAAAGATTTTCAAAACCAACTAACTAAATATCAACAAGACTTACAAACTCAACAATCTTCCTTATCAGAATTAGAACAGCAAAAATCTAGCTTAGAAATTCAACTAAATCAAACTCAATCTGAAATTCTAACTTTTCAAGAAAAAACAAATAAATTACAAATTGAATTACACCAAGCTCAAGCAAACTATCAACAAGTAGCAGCTAAATTAGATGAAGACAGAGACACTAATATTGTTAAACCAACTGAAACGGAACTCCAAACAGCTAAGGAAAATATCGAAAAACTCGAAAAAGAACTAACCAAAACCAAAGAAGCATTAGAAACCAAACAAAACAAAATCCTTACTTTACAAAAAGAACTCTTTGATAAAGATGAAGAAATCGAAGAAGTAAAAATGGAAAAACAAAAAGAAATCAATCACTTACGAACCGAGAAGAAAAAACTAGAACTAGACTTTACTAATTTGAATGTTAAACTACAGAACAACGAAAAAGAATTAAGCAGCAAAAAACAAGAATTAGTTAACACCAAGCAAAAACTCAATGAGCTATTATATCAAGAAAAATCTCTTGAACAGACTAGGTTGCTAAGAAGAACTGAAAAAGAATTAAATAAAAAGATAGAAAGTTTAGAAAAGGGGAATGCTAAACTCCAAGGAAAACTAACAGCCAAAGAACAAGAAATCTCTCGAATGAACCAAACTATTAATCAAGCCGTATCTACTCCTAAACTAAACATTGAAGGAAGTATTAATGTAGAAAGAGGCAATGCTTTAATTGACAACGTGATTGGAGACAATGCTAATATCACTAGCCATTATACTAAATCTGTTGAAGAAAGTGAACAACAAGCCCAAATCCTCCACCAACCTTACGGCACCCCTAGCTCTTCTAAAAACTAACCTTAACTCTCCCCCTCCCCATAAACTCCATCATCTTCTCCCTACTCTCACTATCCACAAAAAACAACTTCCCTCTTTCTCATTTCCCTAACAAATCACTCCTCAACAACTCTTCACTATAATCCCACTTCACCTTTTGTTTACTTTTCAACCTTTGCTCATAAGTCAGACAATACTCCTTCACCCAAGGCAAATCATCCTTATTACTAATCTCCCTACTCGCCAACGAAACAAAAAACCAATACCCCTCCTTAGCTAAATAAAAAACACATCCATTAAACACAAACAAAGCCCGTGAACCATTCACAAACTCACACATCCTTAAATCTTCTTCCCGGGCAAAGAAAGTATTCCACAGCTGAACACAATTGCCATCTAAGCAAAGACAATCGGTCTCCTTTTGACATTTGCTTTCTTTAAATAAGCTTAATAGCTCACCTTGCTCATTCTCTAAATTCACTACTTCTCCGGCAAAAACTCTTTTTTTTAGCTTTAGCCGGTCTTTCCTAATCACTGACCAAAAGCCTTCCATAAAAGGGCGAAATCGCTCGTAAGGGTTAGCCAAGTAAGTGATAGTGGGTGGGCTTTTTTCCTTTTCTCTTCAAGCACTACCGAATAGCTCTTTAATTTTTTCTGGCTCGTCGGCTAAATATTTCTCGCCGGTCTGGGGATTAATGAGGGCTTCGTCAAAGACTATTTCAGAAATGCTTTGGGTGTAGTTTTCGCGGGCTTTGTAGGAGCTGAATAGCTCGACCATGAAGCATTTCATGGCACCCTTGTATTTCACTCCGCGGGTGATGGCATCTCAAACCAATTCAATATCTTTTTCCGGGACTTGGTTATTTTCACAATACTGGGCAATTACTTTCTTTCAACTTTCTAAGCTACCGGTGCGGATACTGTCGAATTGTCGGCGGAGTCAGATGAATTCTTTGCCTTGCTTTTCAATTTGCTCTAATAGGTGATATTTCTTGGAATAACTTTTGCCAGTACCCCGAGAATAAATAATTATCTTTACTTGGGCGGGGTGGTTAAAGATGGGTTGTAATCTTAAATAGCGAGGGTCTTGGTTATTCATATTCTTTTACCTCGTAAAAAAATAAGGGTAGCAAGCTAGTCATGGCTTTCTTGGTAACACTCCTCACAAAAAGCTCCTTTCGCACTAATAATCAAGCCTTCTTCACTAAATCATTTGCGGCATGCTTGGCAAGTGAGGGATTTTTTATTGTCTTTCATATATACTTAATTTTTAAGCAAAATCAAGTTATTTATAACTTGCCAAAAAAAACCAGCCTCTAAATCGAGTTTAACCCAACTAAAACTCAAACCCAATCAAGCCCGGTCCAGTTATAGCAAGTATTTAGCAAGCTAAATCTTACTTCAAACCTCACTCTGTTCGGTTATCCCTCCCAGAGCATTCTTAGAACCTTTTCTTTTTCTTGCTTCTTGGACTTCTTTTCCTGGGGGATTAGGAGAAGTCAAGAGTAAATTTGCTTAGTAAATTATAGGCTTTGCCTAGAATTTTAACCCAAATTTAGAAGTTTGACTTAGTCTAAACCCCATGCTAAAAAGAAAATCAAGAAGTTAAACTAAGAAAACTACAGCCAAGAATGAAAGCGGGAGGGAATAAGGGTCGGCTTCCGGCAAAAGATAGCCAAATAAGAAAGGCAGTGGTTTTTAAAGAGATTTTGCTGATTAAAAGCCAAAGTAAATAACCTAGATTCTACTCCTTTTAATAAAATCGGCTTAGTAATTACTCATCAAATCTTAAAAGAAACTTTGGAACAATTTTTAATTTACCCCCAATAACCCCTCTTCTCATATTCCCTAAACAAATATTTCTTTCTCGCAGGCATTTTCCCTACCAAATTCTTTAAGCAATCACCGCACAAGACTTTTTCTTTAACCTTTAAACCTCAAAATTTAGGGTCATTCCTGTTTTTAATCACGCCGTGATGCCCCGCACTAGTAATCAATTTCTCGCACCCTTTGCTTTTACACTTAATTCAACCACTCCCATCATAACTAAGATACTTTGTTCGTGGCTTTGTTGCTTCTATACACTGGCAAGCAATAATCCCGGTTCGATAATCATTCAAAACTTCCTGGGCGGAGCTAATTAATAACTCATCCCTCTCCAACTCTTCCAATATTTTTCGGTAGCAAACACAGCAGTATTTTTTCTTTTCATCCAACTTCCCACAACTTTTTCTTTGCCGACAGCCCACACAATAAACACTTCTAAATTGTGGTTTTACTTTCTCAAATCTTTTTTGTTTCCTTATCATTTTTATAATCACAATAAAAACTATGTAATTAATTTAATCATAGCATTTATACTGATATTTTTAATATTTTTCCCTCCCCTATTGCGTAATTAAAAAAAAGTAGCAAAAAAAATCCCCTCCCGTCCGCCTTTTTCTGCACTTTTTAAGGGCTTTTTCACTTCAATTTTTATTTTTTTTTTCATTAAAACTGACTAGTTTTAATCACCGGGATTTTTCCTTATTTTAAGAGTGGGGACTGAACGTGGGGCGAAAAGTGGGAAAAAGGAGGGAGTGAACCGGAGACGAAGTCGGAGGAGGAGCGACCGGAAAGAGGGATTTTTCAATTTTTTTGGGAGCGGCGACCAAAGGGAGCAAGCGACCGAGAGAATGAATTTCGGTGAAAGTGGGGCGAATTAGGTGGGATTTTTTTTGGTTCTTTTTTTTAGAGATTAGGGGGAGCCGGAGGGGAGGCTCCCCCAACAGCAGCCTAGGTTCTGCTTTTGCTGGGTTTTTGGCAAATTTTTTTCTATATTCTCGTTGAACTTTCCTCATATTGCTTAATTAGTCCTCTGATTTTGCGAATTTTTTCTTTTACTTCGGCATGGTGAATGTCATATGGCTTATACCGATAAGCAAGTAAATTTGGTTTAAGATAGCCGGAAAATGCTTCTAAAACTTCATCACAACCTTTCTTTAATAATCCTAACTCTTTTTCAGCAGGCTTCAACTTACCACTTTGTCAGTCAGCAATAAAATTTTCACTTATTCTTCCTACTAGAAAAAAAATGACTAGCATCCATTCTCCCGCTTCTTCGGTTCTTTCTTTCTCCTTTGCTACCAAATATTTTTCTTTGGCTTCAAAATACAAATCATAGGACTCTTGGAGAGAAAGATTTCTTTCCTTTCTCGCACGATTAACCTTTTCAAAGATTTCAGATAATTCTTTTTCTAGAACAGGAGTCATAACATTAAATTTTAGTCGCAGCAGGGTTAATAATCGCTTCTTTCTCCGACAAAGAAAATTCTCTTATTGAATATCGCATTGCACGTCTTCCATAGCCTTACGTTTATCCGACTCTCTTTCGGCTTCCATAATATTCTTAACTCAACTATTATCTGCTTGAACTATTTTAGGACTTCCCCTACCATCATTACTGCTTCCTTTATCTTCCTTGCTATCCGAAGCATGAACCGAAGGAACAATTGCTTCCTTAACAGTAGAAGGCACATTAGCAACTGATTCTGCTGCTTTTCCGGCAGTAGATTTTTGTTCGCTTTGTTCTTGCTGATTTTGCTGTTCCACAAATCTTACTTCATAAGTTTCTGGTGTTTTTGGTATGTATTTGTTGTTTTCATTAATTCCTGTCATAATATTACCTCCAATATAAATTAACTAATTCAATTTCTTGCTTTGATACACTTCCTAGAACAACTGGCATCTTTAAGATAGTGTTGCATATCCGCTTACAGTTTGACGGGTATCTCTGACCCAACTAGTTTCTTTCAAAAGCATTCATCACCAAGGCTAGCCAACCTCTTTATGTTTTTAGTAAGCAGTTTTTTTGCTTGGAATTTGTTTGTAAATTAGCCCTAGCGGGCGTGACTTTTCTGCCACTAGTAATAAATTGTCATTTTCACATGGTTTTTTACCTCATATAGATATTTTTACAGTTATAACTTAAAATTTGAGTAAATAAGTTATAATTTTTCTTGATTATATGCGCGCGTAATAAAGAGGTTAAGTTTTAGGCTAATTTTGGCTGAGATTTTCTTTTACCCCATCAATAACCAATAACTAAAACTGCTATTCCAAACAGCACCAAACCACCAATTAAATAAAGAGTATTGAGATTAGGACTTTTACTGTTATTTCGGTTTCGCACTGTTTCCCTAACTTCTGCTTTGGCTGGTGGGCTTGCTTGCTGTGATAAGTTTTGTAAATAAGCCATCTGGGAATTAGTTTGTTGGCTAGTATTACCCCGAGCAACTAAATCCTTCGCATACTCCAATAAATCCATTAAAATAGTTCCTTGTCAAGAAACTATTCTAAATTTCTTGCTTTTAATGCCAGCTACTAGACGGGAAAACTGCTCGGCTGTTAGGTTATTTAAGTTTTTTGATTTGATGGGATTATTTTCAATATTTATGGCTTCTAAATTAGGAAAAGTAGACAGCAATCAAGCAAAATCAATCTCTTTTAGTTGGTTACCAAAGAAATTTATCTTTTTTAAGGTTTCTTTGTTGGGTAGGGTGGATAATCAGTCCAAACTCTCAAATTTATTGTTGTAAGAATTTAAACTTTGGAGGCTGGTAAATTCAGAGAGGTCAGCATTGCCCGATAAATCTCGGTTGCTGATATCAAGGTATTTGATTTTGTTTTTTTTAGTGATTTGGTTGATATGTTGTTGCACGTTGTTAGTCATAGGTTAATTTTTAATTAATAAGCTAGAAAGTCGCCGGTGTTTTTGCCTTTTTCTTTTAACATTTTAACCATTCTGTGGGAGAGTTAACAGACATTTCTTTCTGGGTGGAGAAAAAGTGAGTTAAAAGTGAATTACTCTTGCGGTTTGCTTCGTTTTTCCACTTTCTTTTTCTCTTTTTCGTAATCTCTGATTTGAGCTTGGATTCTAGCGAGCTGTTTAGTAAGATATTTTTGCTGTCGGTTGAGCTTGTAAATTTGGTTATTTAAGAAGCGAATGTATTCTTTTTTAAGAGTTATTTCCTCTGGTGTGGTTTTTGGCATTAAAGAGAGATTTTTTAATTATTCTAGTCTAGTTAAATCTTCCTTAATTAATTCCCGAAAACGTGGTCGCATATGTTTTCAATTAACTAATTCTACTTCAAAAGGCAAGTTAGATTCCGCAAATTCTTCCCGCATTTGGCTAATAACCGAAAGAGGTATTTCTTCCTGATAGCAAAGGTCTAAATCAGAATGCTTTCTCGCGGTGCCTTTTACTCGGGAGCCGTAAGCATAAAAGTGATAAGGATATTTGCGAAGTATTTGTTGGATTATTTTTCCGTGTTTTTCTTCCAGTTGTAAATTCATAACTATTTTTTAGGAATTAATTTCTGTTTGGATTTGGGCAATTAAGTACTCTAAATCTTTTAAGAATTCCGGTAGCACTTTCCAAACTTCCGCTAATATATCCGCTTCATAACTGTGGACAGTTAAATTTCTAGTCTCTAAATACTTCTCTCCTCAGGCTTCAAATTCTCGAATTAAACCTTCGGCGGCAGCTTTGCGAAAAGTTACTTTGGGGCTGTAAACTTCTACTCCTTTACTCATTAACACTTTTTTCAAGGTCTTTCAACTTAGTTCATAAGCCATTTCAAAAGCTTGAATGCCACCCATTTCTTCTAATTCGCTACTGGCTCCTTCTTGCAAGGCTTTTTCTAACAAAAGTTTGGTTTTTAAGAGCGGTTGAATATCAATTATCTCTTTTTTGTTCATTATTTAAATTTAAAAGGTAGTCGGAATATGTCAGATTTCCCTCCAACTTCTTTGCTTTTCCTATGAATATTTTTGCTAAAACTTTCTATATAATTTTGCCAAAGAAAACGGACATTAATTTTACACAGGGTAATAAAGATGGGAATTCCGGCAATGGTGACTGGATTTTTTAAGTGTAGGGAGAACAAAGGATATCTGCTTTGAGAATTTATGGGAGATTTTAAGTGAATGATTGCTATTTAGTTATTTTTGGCGGATTTGGGCTTGTTGTTGATTTTGAACCAAAGAACTTTGATATTCAGTTTTTAATTGCACTAGGTTAGCATGATTTAAAGTTTGCTCGGGAGTTAATTGCTTGTTGTCTCTTAATCAAGCATAAAAATTAACTTCTTGCGGGTCAAATTGTGAACCAAAAGCATCGGCTCATTCTTGGGCTTGGGAGAAGGTGAAATTGTGGTTTTGCCAACTTTGGCTTAATGTTGGAGTGAAGGAAAGGTGAAGGTTAGTTCAATTTTGCTGTTCAGGAGAAGCATTAACTCTCTTTGGTTGATTATTGAAAGCAGTTAAATTTTTTTGCAGGTCCTCTTGACTATTTTTCTCCAAGATTTCTTTTTCTTGAAGTTTCTCAAAAAAATCATTAGTTTCTTGGATAGCTTTTAATAAATAAGCTGAATCCTTGCTAATAGCATTAGCCATTTTACTTTGTTGAGAAATACCTAAACCATAAACACACATTTTGGCAAAGTGTTCGCAATTGTTTTTCAATAAGTGGTATTGTTTTTCGCCATATTTAGCCTTAATCGCTATATCAATTTGTTTCTCAATCAATTCTAGTCTTTTGAAAGGTATAAAAGGATGTTCAATTTCAATTTCCGTTTCTCCCTTTAAAAAATCTTCTCAATTGTCAATTCGAGCCGCTAAGTCTTTCCGACCATTTCTTTCTTCTTCCAGCGAAGAAATATGGGCTAGTTGTCCCTTGCCTAAATAAATTGCGACGTGCTGACCAGGAATTGACATTTTTCTTTTGACAATGTCGTAAGGTTTGAGATAGTTGTCAAGGTTATCAATATTGGGAGATAGTTTTATTTTTCTTTTACTGATATTCTCATAACCTTTGATTAAAGGAGGGGTATTAGGACTATAAGGATGATTATAAATTTCGGCGGCTGGGTGGTCTTTATTTAATGCAACTTTAAAATGTTCGATTATTGTTTCTCAATTTTCTTTAACCTTAGAAACTTTTTGGATAACCTTGATTAGTTGGAATTCTGCTTCGGCTTTGCCAAAAGTGGGTTCGTAAACAGCAATTCACAGGCGATATTTGCCTTTTTTCTTACTAATAATTATTGCACAATTTTCGTTAAATCAAGTTTCAAAAAAAGCTATTTTTTCGATGGATTCTGCTTTTAGTCTTTCTCTGATTAGGAGTTTCATTAATTCTTCTTGGGTTGAATTATCTTTTGGGGTTTTTCGTTGGTCGTTAGTGCTTTCTACTTTTAGTTCTTTGATGGTTGGTTGAGCCTGTAAAGTTTTGGCTTCTTCTCAAAGAGGATTATTAGTTTTAGTAATAGTAAGGTTTACGGGACTCGATGTTTTTTTCCTGTCAAATAATTCAGCATTATCTTGTCTTCAACGGGGTCAATCGTAATTCATGAGGGGATTATTTTTAACTTCGTAATCTTTTAATTGTTCAGCTAATTTCTCTGAGCATTGAATTATCCTTTTAAAATAGCCTCCGGTTAGACCCAAGCTAGAAGCAGCATTATTGACGGCATTGACTTTAAAAAAATCCTCATGTAAATTCTCTAAACCGCTATTAACATTGGTGCCAGTGATACCTATTTCCTTTATTTCGGTTAAATTTCTTAATGGCTTTAAAGAACCATAGAAAGGATTGTTAGTAATGAATAGTCTTTGTAATTTAGTGAAAGGAGTAAAGCAACTTAAATCCTGGGCAGGAAAGTTATTATTGTCCATGCGGAGAGTAAGCACTTTGGTCGGGTCTATATCTTTTAAAAACTCTAAATTTGCTAATTTATTGCCGGAACAAAAGATTTTTTCAATTTTGGTTAAGCCTTTAAGGTTTAAGTTGGTTAATTGATTGCTTGAAAAATTAATTTGCTCAATTTGCTGGTTATTCGCTAAGTCTAAATTGGTGAGTTGATTATTAGAGCAATTCAAATCACGGAGTTGCGAACAATCAGCTATGTCCAAGGCAGTAATTTTTTGGTTACTGATGTCCAATTCTTCTAAATTAATAAATCCTTTGAAAGACAAAGAACCTTCTAGGTTAAGATTATCTTCAAGTTGATTATTTTTGTTTATTGCATTGTCAAAGAATGAGGAGAAAACTGATGATAAATCTCGACCCTTACTGACTGCGGAAAGAAGGTCATCACCGATTCTTTTTGGTAGGTTTTGACTGGGACCTATTCTTTTTACTGCTGCTTTGGCTTCGGGAGTGGGGTATTTTCTATTTAATCATTCTTGGGCATTTACCATATTTTATTATTTTACACTAAAAAGTTTGGAACGAAGGCAAATTTCTGTGCCCTTCATTTTATTTCATTGAGTTGATTGAATTTGACTACGAGCATTTTTTCACCAAATTAGCAGAAATAAGGTTGAGCGAGAGTTTGACAAGTTTCTTTTTTGCTTACCGTAATAGGATTTTTATGAGATTAATCTTTAACCCTTCCCCAATCTCTCTAAATAAACCCTTAAACTTTCTTCAATAATGGCAGTTCTTTGTCCCTCCGGTAAAGAATAATAAAAGTTCAGTAAATCAGGATTAAGGCTAAATCGCACGGTAATTTCCCTTTTGGGAGTGTGTTTGTCTCTCTCCACTAAATTAACCTTGATTTGCCCATTTTGATAAGCCTGTAAACCCTTGCGAATTAGTTCTGAAAGTGAAGAGTAAGTATAATTATTTCTCGCTCATTGTGATTTTAGCATATTCTCGGCTTGCTGGCACAAATGGGCGTTTAGAGCAAAAGTAATTCGCATGGAGCGGTTAAGTTGTTTGATTTCTTCAACATTGATTTGTTTAGTGATTTTTCGCATAGTGGTTGAATAATTGGGTAAAGATTTCTTGGGCTTGTTGGCTGTCTTTTTGGATGAAAAAATTATCTTTATTTCCATTCAATAGTGAACCATACAAAGCAGGGCGCTGGGACAAGGGAGACAATATCACTCCTGCTTTCATGTCCCGTCTCGTCTCGTTTAATTGCTGTAAGCCTTCTTTTTGTTCTTTGGTTTTTTGGTAGCGGTTGGGGAGAAAGTAAACTCTTTTTTGTCTTTCTTTGGGGAGAGACTGAAATCAAGGAATAATGACTTGTAAATCAACATAATGGGGAACAAAAGGGACTAAAATAATGTCGGCTTGTTTGATATGAGTTAAATAACCGCCACTTACTCCAGCTGTGTCGATTAGCTGATAAGCTACTGGGGGACGAGACGAGACGTGACGTTTTTCTTGGGAGCAATTATTAATTCAAGCTTGGAGGGCTTGATTGGGGTCAGTGTCGATTAACTGGACTTTTTTATTGAGGTGATTTAGATATTCGGCTAATAAGGCAGCAATGGTGGTTTTGCCAGTTCCTCCTTTATTGCCGGTAATGACTATTTTAGTGAAAGGCATGACGAGACGAGACATGTTATAGATATTTTTACTGCTTTGCTTGGAAAATTACAAAGTGTGAGTTTCCGCTTTTTTTAGTCCTTGCCTCATAACAAGCTGTCAATCATTTTTTCAATAGCAACATCTTTTTGCGAATAGCCTTGTTTTAGGGTAATGTAGATTTTATTTTCCCTTTGAACTTTTTTTCTTTCATAGGAAGTAAACAACTACCCCGATAATTCCTGCCACGACTAATCCAACACCAATAATTAAAGGTCAATAATTTTTCTTCGGTGGTTGGGTTTCACTAGCATTTAGCAAAGCATTTAATTCGGCTTTGCCATATTTCTCCTCAAAAGATTTTTTTGCTGCTTCTTCACTACTCTCAACCATTTTTAAAAAGTAATCTGCCATTTCCTTTTCTTCTTTAGATAGTTTAGGGTCAGTGGTAGATTTAACACTTTCTTTCTTTAATGCCTTGCTAAATTCTTTTAAAGTTAGTATTTCTTTCTTAGAAGCTGTTTTTTCTAATTCTGCTTTGGAGGTTCCTTTATCAGTAGTTGTTTTATCTCCACTGGATAATTCTAACTCCATCGGATATAGTTTGGTTTTTTTCGTTCATGACAGAACAGTAGTATTAGGAATATCTCCGGGTGTATAAGACTGAGAGCCTCTATGTCTTTCTCTTTGTTCTTGCTCTCATAAATTTTTGTGGTATTTGTAATGACACATAGGAGAACAAAAGATTGTTCTTAACCCATAATCCAAAGCTCAACCTTTTCTCATGTCAGGTCATTCTCTTTTTTGACATTGAGCACAAGTTTGCTGATGACTTCTTTTAAACTCTTCGACACAAGAACAGTTTTCACTAAAATAATAGGTTTTTTCATTAAAGTTAAGGTCAGAGTATCATATTCTTTTTAGTATATAAACTTTTTTGCTTTCATTTCAACAAGAAATATTACACCTTTCACAAGTGTATTCATTGTGTTCACTTCTGCTTTGGTTCCTATTTTCACGGTTTAGACATTCAATACATTTTTCTCCTCCAGAACTCCTCCTGCCACAATCAGGACATCTATGAGCTTCTTGCATTACTTTATATTGGCAATTATCACAAATGCCACCGAGACCATAAGGATCCTTTTTTCCACACTGTGGACACCTACCTGATTCTTGTTGAGGAACTGGTTGTTGTGGAGGTTCATTTCTCCTATTTTCTTGCTGAGGTTCTCCTCGGTCAGGATTACTTTCAACTGCTTCTATTCATACTTTAAATTCTCCATTAGCATGATTTTCTTGACCACATTTCTCACAGAAAAAAACATCAGGAGCATGGACTGCATAGCCTTGGGAAAATTCCTCTTGGCATCTATTACAAGTCATGGTATCCTTTTCGACTGGCTCGTCATCTAACTTTCTTTGGCATTTTCCATCACAACAGTTATCTTTCATGGCAGAATATTTACGAACATAGCCCTCAGTTTCATTAGGATTTTGTTGTTTTGGTTGTTTTTGCTTTTCTTCCTGTGGTGGTTGTCAAACTATTTGGGTTTTATTACCTCAGCGACACCAAGCATTTTTTTCTTCGTTTCATTTAATAGAAATTGGATGCTCTTTACTTTCATTATGATAGCCTATAATTATTCCATGAACTACTTTTCCTTCTTTATCATATCTATCACAGCTATTTTCACGATAATCTTTTTCTTCTCCTTTCCAGCATTCAAGGCAATATTTAATCTTTTCATCGATAATTTGAAAAAAAGGCAACTCTAATTCTTTGGAACACTCTTTACATTTGGGATGTTCTTGGTCTTTAAGTTTTTCATGACATTCTTCACAAATTAGAACCTCGGAGCTGTTTTTAGTAATTATTGCTTCGGCTTTCTTTGCTTTACATTCTTGACATTTAAGCAATTCATTAGCACAAGGTTCACAGATAGGTTGGTCGTAAATTACTTTTTCTTCACCAGTGTCTTTGTTTGTTATCACTAATCCACCATGCTCAGCTTCGTTAACTTGGCATTTGCTACATTTAGGCTTATTGTTGTTATCTCTTCTGTCGTCTGAACCAGAATTATTTCCTTGGTTAACATTCTGATTGTGTGGGTCATCATTTCCTCTAAATCAGATTACTTTCTTTCTCTCTCTCTCTCTCTCTCTCTCTGATTCATAATTCTAAATTTTTGGTGTTATTCATATATAAGTTTTTTGCATATAATATTATCTTTCGTAGTTTTTTTGTTGTTAAAAAGCGGAATTTGCACTTTTGTAATAAAGCGAGATACTTTCTCTATAACTTTAACTCTTTAAATCTGGTAAAATCTCACAACCCTTAACCTTATAAAGAAAACAATCTTCTAACGAAGATTTAAAAGAAAAAACCAACCAAAATTTAACCCAATTTGGAGCCAAAAATGGGTGCTAACTTATAAAATAAGTTAAATAAGAAAAAAAATCTCCTTTCCACCCCTCAACCGTTTCTCGAAATCACTAAAAATAAAATATGGGTGTTCTATTCCTAGTTGATTCTCATTTAACGGTAAATGAAATCTCCCAGTCTGGAGTTGCCTTTTGGTTTTCAGATAACTGTTTACCAAAAGGGTTTCCACCAGTGTTCGCCTCTGCGACTCGTCTAGCGAGTGAAAGTTCGTCAACCCATTGCCGTAAGTTATCTTACCGCAACTTTTTAGCAGGTGCATCCGTTGCTAGAATATATTAAAAAAAATTGCAAAGTTATTAAAAATATATTCATACCAAATTAACTTGGTAAGTTTCATGATTTCGTGCATTTATTGGTTGTGCGATTTCATTTGTTAGTTTAAACGCTAACAGTTAAACCGTTAAGGTTCTTCAGGAGTTAATTCCTGAGGTAAGATTATTAACTATGGTGGTTGGTAGTCTTACCTAAGAAATTAACTTTTGTTTATATAATTATATTTTTAAGTGTTACCGGATTACTATAAAAATTAATTATGGAAAGAAGAACAGCCCCAAAACAAGTTTTAAGCATCAAGGTTACTCCTGGTTTGTATCAACGATTAAAGAAAGAAGTTGGTAGCGGTAAAGTCAGCAGATTTGTCGAAAATGTAGTAAATAGAGAACTGGATGAACAAGTTAGAAAAGCAGCTCAAATACAAAAAGAATTTCAGCAAAAACTAGCTTGCGGTTATCAAGCGATGGCGAAAAACAAAAAACTCAAAGAGGAGTTAGCAGTTTGAGAAGAAACCCTCGAAGATGGTCAAAATAAATAAGAAAACTCCTCAACAAGGAGAAATTTGACTAGTAAAGTTTGAAAGACTAAAAGAATCACGCAAACCTTTCCGCCCCTGCTTAATAATCAGCAATAATAACCAAAACGAAAATGATGAAGAAGTAATTGTTTCTCCGCTAACCACGGAAGAAGTTATTGCCGGCGAGGTTCAATTTTTTGAAATTCCCGTTATGGCTAATAAAGAAACTGGTTTAGATGAGCCTAGTCGGGTGTTGCTTAATCGGATTCACACCGTAGATAAAGAACTACGCTTGATTGAAAGGTTAGGGAGAGTGGATGAGAAAGTTTGAGGTCAAGTTTGGGAGGCTTTATGAATAGTTTTTACGGGCAAGAAATTAAATGATAAACAAGTTTTGGAAATGAATTAAACGTCTCTCTGACAAAAACTCACCGCAGTAAAGAAAAAACCAAAAACTAATCCGTGAAATTATTTTAGAATTAATTTGCTGTGATTTTAACTTTAGTTGTTTCTTTTTTTTCTAAATACTGATCAAATAATAAGTCCGATTAAAGATATCAACGCTATAGTTAAAATTCAGTTGGTAGTTTCTTTTGCTCTCGGTGCTGGTTCTTGGTTGTTTAATTTATCATTTAAGTCTTTTTGCCCGCTGGTTAACTTATGCTGGTATTCTTGCTTTTCTTTATCGTTTTTCCATTCTCAATATTTTCCTATATGTTGACATAAATAGCCATTTTCTTTAACTAAATTCTCATTACATTCAGAGCAAAAAAGTCTTTTTTCTTGTTGAGAATTACAAGAAGAACAATAAGTGGGTGCGTTTTTTTTACTTTCCCAATCATCTGGATATTCGGGCATCATTTCATTTTTTTTAGTCTTACATTTCGGGCAAGTAGTTTCTAATTTAGACAATTTACAACTAATATAATAAAGCAGACCATTATAAATATTATCTAAATATTCTTTATTATTGCTAGCATTTTTTTTATTAAATTGGTCATTATCGGCAAAAGATTTCTTGGCAATAGTATAAAGTGGGCTAGTTTTCACTACTTTTTGATAAGCATTTGCTAAGCTAGTTAAATCTTTGCTTGATTCCCTGTTAAGAACACTGATTAGTTCTCCAAATTGTAGTTTTTCTTCGGCATCTTTCACTTTGCCGGTAAGTTCTGCTTCTAACTTTATTTTTTCTTCAAGTTCTTTTTTTGTTTCTTCTTCCTCTTTGAGAAGTTCATTTAGTTGTTCTTTCTTTCCCTCTAATTCTTGTTTTTTTTCTTGGATGATTTTTGAGTTATCTGTATCAGTTTGTTTATTTTTTTCTGATGAATCTTGCTTTTCGTTTTCATTAATATTTATCTTGTCTGCTTCTCATCATTCTTTAAAATTTTGATACTCTGTGGAACTTTCAATCACGCTTTTAATTTCGCTGGTCAAAGCAGTATGTTCGGCTACTAGTTCTGGATACTTATTTTTGTCTCCGGTGCTTTCACATTGGCTTCTTTCTTTCTCTCATTCAAAATTATTTGCTGTTTGCTGATAAGCATGGGCTAATTCGTGAGCGATGGTTTCAATTAGTTCGTTAAAACCAGTTAGAATATAAGTATTTTCACTAGAAAAAAGCTTGTCCATACCCAATTTATCTAACAGAAAATGTTGATTAAGTGAGATACCTAATTTAATATTAATTTCAACAGTTTTTCCAGTCTCTTGACCATTAGTGTAAGTAGTTTGGGTGTTTTGGGAAGCATCAAAATAGCAATGACCAGCTCTTCGTTCGTGTTCCTCAAATTCTTTAAATCCCTGAAAATCAACTTCCGGGTAAGCATCTTTGGCTATCCCTTTCTTTTCTCGAAATTTTCAATAGAAAGTGGTAATGAAATTATTAAAATGAGAATGGATTTCTGAATCATTTTTTAAAGAAGAGATTAAGGATTTTCATTGACCATTTTTTTGTTGTTCTCAGAAAGAATTTTGCTTATTCATGATTTTTTTTTTATTGATTATCTAATAATGAAGCGACTGTGATGTTATAAGCAAAACCATGCTTAACTTAACTCTCATCTAACGAACATCACTAACATCAAAAGAGAGCAGTCGCTTCGTAAATATTTTTAATTCTTTTGTTTAAATTTTTCGTGTACAAATAAATTAATTTACACATTCCACGCAGCATTTATTTAATGATTAAACGAAAAATATTCCCTAGAAGAAAGAGAAAATATTACAAAACTAGACGTTAGTAACCAAGATTTGGAAGGCTCCTTAAATTTAGCAGGCTTTATCAGTCTGAAAGAATTTGACTGCTCTGACAACAAAATTACCCATTTAGACCTCACTCATTGTCCCAATTTAGAAAGGATTGATTGTCAAAACAATCAATTTACTGAATTAACGGCTCAGCAATTAGCAGATTTTAAGGTCGCGAAAGAAAATTTAACACGCGACCTCCAAAATAAAAGTAAAAAAATCGTTGAGTTAGAAACAAGTTTAGATGAAACTCGTGAAACATGGGGGCCACCAAAAAAAGTAGCTTTTCTTGAAAAAAATCTTGAACAATCGACTAATGTGCAAAAGCAATTGGTTGAGCAGAATTCCTCGCTAAAAAAAGAAGTGGTTATTGCCGAAAGAAAACTCCATGCTCGCAATGAACGCATTCAGGCTCTAGAGGACTTATTGCAAAATGCACAAGAAAAATTTGGAACCCAAAACAAAAAGTTCGAAGCACAATTACAAACAGTCAGGGAGAGATTGGAACAAGCAAGAAGCCAAAAAACAAAAGCCATGACTTCATTAAGTTTTGGTCGAATAGCAAAGCCATTGCGTAGCAGTGAATTAGAGATCGAAACTCAACCAAATCAACAATTCCAAGAATTCTCCAACCTCTTATTCCCTAATCAACCTTATAACTTTGACCAATTAAAACAAGAAATTACCCGCCTCAAATACCACGAACTCGCTCCGCAACTTTGCAACAAAAGAACTGAATTCGAACAATTAATTGCTGAGGTAAAAAACAAAGCCGGGAACTCAGAAAAAATAATTGACTTGCTCTTAGAAACCTATCAACAAAAAGAACAAGCCACTGAAACTTCCCAAAAAGATAAACTAAGTGGTAAAATTGAAGCTTACCAAAACGTCCTTGAAGGAAATTTAACCAAAGAGGAATTACAAACTCTCTTAAACAAGCAAATCGAGTTGTGCCAACTAGAAAAACATTTAGCCAGTTTACAAATTAATGAGCAAGTGGCTCAAATTATCCAACCAACCGTTCTACCTTTCAAAAAATAAAGCACTTAAAACAGTAGTTTAAACAAACAAAGTGAGCAAAAATCTCCCAAGTTGCTTAAAAATGCCTTAAATGACAAAAAAACAATATCTTTACGGAGAAGTTGATTATACTTCTTTGGTTCAGGCTCGTAATACTTTAGAAAAAATATTCCAAGCGGCTCACAGTGAAGCCGAAAAAATGGGAACGGTGCAAGCTTTTGAAATTTGTTACGAGTTATCTTGAAGAATAATGAAGAAAATTCTCAAATTTCGGGGAGTAGAAGCCGGAGCCGCCCGGGACGTTTTCCGCGAAGCTGCCAGGTTAAAGCTGCTGGCTGATGCTGAGCAATGATTTGCTTATCTCAAAAAGAGAAACATTACTGTTCATGCCTATCGTAAGGAAGTTTTAGATGATTTATTTGCTAACACTGCCAAAGAATTCTTACAAGACTTAGATTATTTGCTAACTCAACTAGAAAAGCAAGCCCCAAATTATGCTCCAACTAAAAAGTAGACACCAACAGATCATTCAACAAATACTCCGTAAATATCCTTACCAGTTTTATGCTTATGGTTCACGAACCAAAGCTCGAGCGGAAGAATACTCCGATTTAGACCTTTGCTATCGAGAACCAATTTCCTGGAAAACTCTCAGTAGTATTTGCGGTGAGTTGGAAGAGTCAGACCTACCATTCAAAGTAGATTTGGTATATTGAGAATGGATGAGTCCTGAATTTCAGGAAATAATTAAGGAGGATTTAGTGCTATTTGTTTAATGCTTTTTTTGCCCACTTTTTATGTCCGGGACACAGGTATCTATCTCTTGTAAATATGCGTTACATTGCGACCATGTATTTTTAATGCTTGCTTGATTAGGTAATGATTATTGTTTGCTTTTTCAAGGCGGCGGGTGAATTATTTGGGCTTTTAATTGCGGTTTTTCTAATTGTTGATAGTAGTTGATTTTCTGTCATTGGTGGAGAGTTTTAGCGAAGTTTTTAATTTCAGTAGTGAGTTGATTAAGGTGTTTTTCAGCGGTTTCTTTATCTTTTAGGGCGATTTGATAAGCATTTTGGAGGTTAGTAATAGTTTGCTCTTGGTGGCTTAACTTTTGCGTTAAATTAGTGTTGTTTTCCTGTAAGGATTGATTATTTTGTTTTTGTTGGGTTAGGTTGTTTTCGGTGCTAATTCTTTTGCTTTGTTCGTTAGTTAGTTCTGTTTCAAGTCAGCTTATTTTTTCTTGGGCTTGGGTTAATTTTTGCTGAATTTGCTGTTTTTCGGCTGTTGTGTTGGTTAATTGTTGCTGTAAATTAGTGTTTTGTTCGCTTAAATTGTTTAAATCTTGTCGCAAGTCGGCGTTTTGTTTTTCCAAGTTATTATTTTTTCGTTGAATTTGGCTTAACTTTTCCTCTAAATGGTTAATTTTGCTTAAATGTTCGGCTTGGCTTGGGCTAAATAGTGGTAAATCGGGGGTTAATGGTTCGGACAATTTCTCTAAATTTATTTTAATTTGTTTGGGTTCAGGTTGCGGCTTTTTGGGCTTTTCTAACCAGTTTTTTCCTGCTAAAATAGCCCCTGTATCGCTACCGTCGTCATCGTTGCTGTGATAAGTATTCATTCAATATAAAGCAGTAGTGCGGACGCTATAATGACCCAGTAATTTCGATAAAAGCGGCAGTGGTAAGCCTGCTTCGGCCTGGTAAGTGGCAAATGCTCGGCGGAGAGTGTGGGGAGTGAGTTCGGTGTCAGGCGGGATATTCAATTCACGCTTAATTTTCTTTAAAAAATGATAAAAATTAAAGCGGTTAGTTTGGTTAGGTTTTCACTGGAATTTTTTTAGTTCGCTGATTACTTTCTTGGGAATGTAGACATAACGCTTTTTCTTGCCTTTGCTTTTAATGAGATATAAGCCTTTGCGGGTTTTCTTATTTAAGTCAAAATTTACGGCTTCGGATACTCGCAAACCGGCTTTTTGGCATAACAAAAATAAGCCGTAGTGTTCTTTCCTCTTGCTTTCTTTGCGTTGATTGGGAAGGTTTAAAATACGCTGTGGAATTTGCTCTAAAAACTGTAAACTAGGAAGCATAATTATTTAAAAATAAAAATATTATCCCTTGGGTGTTTTTTTATCAGTTAATAATTAAATTTTTAGGATTTTTTGGTTTTTATTTTTGCAGATTGGCAGGCAAATACGTTATAGATTTATCAATTCCTGCTAACGCTTTTTCTATGTTTTCTAGCCTTTTTGATATATTGTTTAGAGCTGAAACTAATTTTTCTAATTGTTCTGGATTTATTGTGGTTAATGTCGGTGTCATAAGGATAATTTATTTTTTAACTATTTAAGGGCAGCAAAATTACAATTTTCTTAACTTCTTGTATTCGTTAAATTTAGTTTGGTGGAGTGATTTCATGTCTTTTTTTTCTGCCTCCTCATTTATCATTCTTCATCAATCGCAAAAGCAATTATTCAAGCCATTTTAGCTTGCTCCATGATTTCTTTGCCAGCAACTCCTAAATGCTTTTTAAAACGTTCTTTATCAACAGTAAAAGGATAATTAAGTTGAATTTTACTCGGATAATCTAAACCTGTTTCATGAGTGTTTTCAATATAGACTTCAAAGGGTGCAGTAAATTTGCTCTCTTCCGTGGTAATCGGAACTACTACTATTCACTCGCCAAATTCGTTTTGAAGATCCTCACTAATTACTAGAACTGGTCGGATAGGCTTACGACTTTCTTTGGCAGGTGGGAATTCTACTAGTCAAATTTCTCCTCGTCATGGAAATACTGGCTCTTTACTCATCTTTGATTAACTTTTTTGCTATATCTTTTACTGATGCCTCTTCTAAGATTGCTAATTCCTTTTGGAGATTTTTATTTTTGGCTTGTCGTTGATAAGCAGCAATTGACCTTTTTCTTAATTGTTCTTTTTCTCTTTTTTGCTCGTTAATTAGTCCTTTTAACTCTTTTTCTACTGCTCGGTTAACAAAAGAACTGATTTTTCCATAGCCAATTTTTTGTTTTAAGTGTTGATAAATATTTTCTTTAATGGCGATGCTTAAGGTTCTAGTCATAATAATTGTTAGTTGTTATATATTATTTTTGTTTTTTTAAGAATTTTTTAATCATCCCAAAAACTATTCAAAAACTTCTGTTCTTTCTTTTTTAATAAACTAATACTTCGCTTTTGATAGTCGATTACTTCCTGCTCCTCCTCTAATTCTTTAACTAACTTTTTCTGAACTTCCAAAGGAGGCACAGGAATTAAAAAATTTTCGATAAATTCTAATTTAAGCCTTTGCCGACCAGTGGTTCCAGTCATATGTTTTTTACCTTCCCCTAAAAAGTCAGAGTTTCGTAAACAATAATAAACTCATTCAATTAAAACTCTTGGCTTGGCTCGCAAAACAATAAATTCGGTAGAACCAAAACCAATGCTATTCACTAAATTTTTCGCAATACTCATTTTACCATTCTCAAAACAAGGAGTAATTTTAGCAATCAGTAGGTCATTTTCAGCAAAATAAGTGTATCCTTGATAAACTTCTTCTATTTTCTTTGTTTCTTGTGGGTAAACCCATAATGAATATTCTTCGCAGTCCTCCATCGGCAAAAAAGAAACTTCAATATCCTTTTTATCTTTAATTTCTAGTTTAGAAGGATTTATTAAGCAAATATCTCTAATCTTTTTATTCTCATAACAGAGAGAGAGAGAGAGAGAGCAGAATTGAGGTTATCGACAGTTTGACTGATATTTTGGAAATTAGCCTTGATTTTAGTTAATTGTTCCACGGCTTTTTTCTGATTTTCCAAACTAGGAATTGGCACCATTATTTCTTTTAAAGAATTGGCGTTAAATTGAGGTTGGACTGTTCCCTTGGTTAATTGTTCTACTTGGTTTCAATAATCGTCAGTTTTAGTAAAGCACCAATAATATTCTGGTAATATTTTTTCTTTATTCAAATTAATTCTAATTAAATAAGAAGCAAAGATGGACTTTTCTTCACCTTGAAAAATGGCGGTTTTTCCTACGGAACCTATTCGGGCTACAATTAGGTCTTTTTCTTTTAGCAAATATTTTTCTTTATCGGCTTCATTTGCCAAATCAACATATTTTTTATCTTTTTGGGAGATATTTCCCTGCTCGTCTATGTCGGTAATCCTAATATACCTAAATTCTCCTTGTTCGCTAGCAGTGGCGGTGTAGCCGTATTCAAAACTAGCAATTTCTCCTAATTTCTTATATTCAGTTGGTTTCATTAGAGAAACAAAAAGCGGAAGTTTAAGATTATCAATTATTTGCTGGGCATTTTGGATGCTTTGCTTTATTTTGTTTAATCCACTGATAATTTTTGTTTGTTCTTCTAACGAAACTACCGGTATAGGAAGATTTTTTAAATGGTCCACTCGCAAGTTTTCCATTACGTCCTCTGAAAGGATACTACCAAGAAAAAATTTTTCTAAATTAGGAGCTTGGAAGACAGCTAGTAAATATTGCGGTAATATTTTTTCTTGGTATTCTTTTTTAATTCTGATAACTGCCAATCCCATGCTTCACGCGATTCCTTTTTTAGCGGAGTCAGGAAAAACTGCCACCTTCCCCCAAGTTCCCGAAACGCTCATAATAATATCATTAGTTTGTAATTGAAAGTTTTTTAGTTGTTGATATCTTTCTTCGGTAATATAGCGGTCTCCGGAAGAAAAATCTCCACTAATAGCATGGTTAGGCTGATAAACCTTAGCAAAACCATGGCTCATAAATTCAGCTCTTTTTAACTCAAAACATCCGCGTTTAACATCAGCAATTTCGGATAAAGGAAAGTATTGTTTGTCTTCCCTTTTAAGCAATGAAAAATCAAGTGGTTTAGCTAAAAGATTATATTTATCATTCTCTATGTCCTTGTAATAAATTTTGGTAAATGACAAATAACTGTTCCTTTCCTCTATCACTACTTCTTTTCAAGTTGAGACCAAAATATCTCAATCATTTACTCCTTCAACTCTATCTCGATAATTATTTAAAGTAAAACCATCATTTTTAATTTGGTAGTAATAAAAATAGTCCCTAGTCTTTTTTTTCTTTTCAATGATAATAGCTGAACTTTTGCTGCCGGTATAAGGCAAAAATATGCCTTTGGGTAGAGAAATGACTGCTTGAATAGAATAATTTTCTATTATCCATTTTTTAGTATCTCGGTATCCTTTCTTGGCTCGCTGGTTAAAAAATCCTTCGGGCATAATCATGGCTACTCGACCATTTTCTTTACAAGCCATTAAGCAGTGTTGAATAGCCAAACAATCCCCATATTTACAACTAATTGGATATAAATTCCCATAATCAATATCGCTAAAACCAAAAGGAATATTAGTAATTATCAAATCATATTTTTCTTTGACGGGAAATTGAAAAGTATCCCGACGCTGGATGTTATTATGTCCGTCTCCGAATAAAATCATATTCATTTTGGTAATGCGAGCCACATTAGTTATCTCATTGCCATAAAAGCAATTAGTCAATACTTCTTTATTTTGTGGGTCCAGTTTTATTCTTTCGCTAACATATTTAAAGCACTCAATTAGCATTCCTCCGGTGCCACAAAAAGGGTCATAAACTTTTTCTTTAAAGCGAGGTTGTAAAATATTTACCAAGTTCCTAATGACATGTCGGGGAGTAAAATATTCTCCCAAATCTTTTTCACCGGCATTATACCTTTGAAGAAAATATTCAAAAGCTTCTCCTTTTATTTCCCTTTCGGTTTCCACTAGCGACAAAGGATTAAGTTTAGCCACTATTTCTTCCAAAGTTTTGGCATCTTCAATCTTACTAACCGAAAATAACTCGCCTTCCTGGTATTTTTGGCGAAAATGCTCTAGAGCTTTGTCCATCCGGATTTTTAAATTATCACCTTTCTCTGAAGACCAAGAATTTCATAAGTGCTTTTTTTCGACAATAGACTTTTCTTTACTTTCTTCAATTTCCCCAATTATTTTCAAAAAAAGAATATTGGCAAATTCGCTAAATCTTTCATCACCAGCTTGAAAACCTTCTTTTCTTAATAAATCATTAGCCTCAGCAAAGATTTTAATTAATTCCCTTCGCGACAAAACAACTTTATTTTCTTGGGTAATTAAGTGCGGTTGCTCAATAAATCTCAAAGCCTCTTTTTCAGCAAAAAAATCTTTTACCTCCTCTCCATTAAGAGTTAAAGTTCTTTGGAAGTTAATATGATAAGCCTTGGTAAATTCCCCATTAGTGGCAATAACCAAAGGTGCTTCGATGTTTTTAGCATAATTAACTCCTTGTTCTAGAGCTTGATGAATGTCTTCACCAGGCTTTTTGGTTTCAATGACAATTAAGGGAGTTGTTGTTCCGGATTGATAAAGAATATAGTCTGGTTTTTTTCGTCCCAGTTTCTTTTTTTGTTCTTGGGTTTTAGGTTGTTGTTTATAAATATTTCGTTGGTAACTGTGAATATCGTCAATTCAACCCAAACTTTTTAACTTAGACTCAATAAATGTTTCAATATCTCGCTCATTAAAATCAGTTCTCATGATTTTTATACTTTGCACAGGAGAAGTTAGAATATTCTTTTGTTTGGGATTTATTCATTTAATGATATTTTTATAGTGGTTTTTGTTTTTTAATTAGTGGGTATGTAAAACCTAAGTAAATTAATCTTCGAGTTCAAAAACTCTTAACTTCTTAAATTCTTTTATTTCTAACTTTTTCATTTTTGGTTAGCAATAAATTTAGTTTTTGCCTTGAATAAACGAAGATTTTTATTAGGACAGAGAGAGAGAGAGAGAGCATTAGGAGTTATCTACTTTTGGATAAGGATTATGGAGGATTTGGGCTTGTTGTTCAGAGATTTGCAAATTATTCAACTTACTTTCTAACTCTGCCAGAATGTTTTTTCATTCAGTGGTTTCTTGTTCTAATTCTATTATTCCTTTATTAATAATTTCATAATCTTCATTCTGACCCGCCTCTTTTGAGTTATCTAGTTCCCATTCGGCTTTTTCGTGCTGATAGGTAGTTTCTACCACTTTTAGAATTGCTTGAACGTTTTCAATTAAGGATTTTAATTCTTCTTTTTGAACCTCAGCAGAGGTCAGTTTTTCTCTCAACCAATGGGCATACTTAAAGATGCGATGGTAAAAACAAAAAAGTGTTTCATCGAATCGTTCTTCCCTTCTTGCATCTTTACAACAGCATTTCTTCCATTCACTCCTTTTGCGCCGAATAGTTTCTATTTCATTTTTGGCTTGCTTTTCTTCTTCAAGCCATTTTTCAAAATTTAAATTAGTTTGAAGGAATTTTTCTTCATCGGCTTTTCACCCTTTTACGCTTTCATTTATGCCCATGCCAACGCCCATACTGACTGCCATGGAGCCATAAAAACCTATAATAATTTGTAGAATCATAATATTATTCTTTTTAAACAATTTAATAACTTTTTTCTTTAAATTTATAATAAAAATCTTATATATCTTATATTATTATGAATAATTCAATTGTCTCCCTCTACGAACTAATCAAACAAAAATCCCAAGAAAAAGGCAGACCTCTTAAAATCATTTGTGATTGAGATGATTGTTTACAGCCCGTTAGACCATTAGTAGTTTATTATAATTCTCAAATCAATGCTCCCTTTGAAGAATTCTTTCAAAGATTTTGGGAAAATTCCATTTTAGGTGCCACCAGTGCCAACACCAGTGAAATAGGAGAATATAAAGGGTATTTAGAGGAAAAAAAAGCCGTAGAAGAATTTGAAAAAAAACGCCAAGAAACCTTAAAGGCGGAGCGACATAACTTTAAAAAAATAGAAGGCTTTTATACTGACAACACTTGGTATACTACTTTTGCCCAAGAATTATTGAGAGCCTTAAAGGAAGATTTAATTAAAGAATTAGTGATTATTAGTTCTTTACGAAAAGGTCTAGGTAAAGGAAAAGGAGGCTGATTTTTTATCAACAGAGACGCTGAGGTTGTTCTGAAAGAGAAAATTGACAAATTTAATAAAACATTTTGTAAGTTTCCTCAAACAAGAGTTTCCTTAACGCAAAAGGTCAAAGACAAAGAAGGCAAGTTTGGTCCTCAACGTTGAGATGTAATTAAAGACAATTTTTCTGATTTTGATATTTATGTTGATGACGATTGAAATTACAAAATAAGGGAGGTCATAGAAACAATGTCCAACAAAGAGGGGAAAATTTATCTACTACCTGATTACAAGAAGTGCCAAAAAGCCACGGGAACCAATGTTTTAAAAAGTAAAATTCAATGTTATCAACAAAAAAACATAGACTTTGCAATTGGAGCCTTAGAATACCGCACCAATAAATTAGAACAAGCAATTAAGGCTTTAAAACAACAAAACCGACCAAGTTCTCCAACTCCCACTTGATTGATAGTCTTTCCTCTAATCAGTGGAGTTTTGGCTGGCTTAGCTTGAATATTGGTTTGAAAAAAAAGCAAAAATAAATCGCGTCAAGGATATATTAAAAACAACTAGTCCCTAAATGGATGGACAACTCACAAAAAAGCACACTTGTTTTTTAAATATCTAAATTTCCAAGTTAACAAAAATTACAACTCAAAAAAACCTCATATACGTGCATATATACTTATTAATAACAAAGCATTTCTCACCCTTACAAAAACCCAAAACCATAAAAAAAACTTAACATAAAAAAATTAATTTGCTATAAAAATATAACTATACAAAAAATCATTATGAAATATTGTCAAAATTGCCAAGGCTTCCGGGAAAGTTTAACCAATAATAAAACTTGCTTGGAATGTAGCCAAAGTTCTCTGGTTAGTCTAAGTAGCCAAATAAATAAACTAGAAAAATCAATTGCTCAACTTATTGAAAAAGTTAAGAAGGAAAAAATTGAAGAACAATTTATTCAGGAGCTTCAAGGAATTCATCAAGTTTGCCAAGAATTCCAAGCCATCCAGAAAACCGAAGAGGAAAATAATCTTGCTGTCCAGAAATTTGGTCAAGAACTCATTGATAAACTTCTCCAAGAACTTAATAGTCGACAAATTCGCATAGTCAATTGGGAAACTAGACAAGCAGTAGTTAGTTCTTTTCGAGATAATGGAGAGTTAAGCCGATTAATTGCTAATGAACTAGAAGCCAAGCTGCAAAATCTTCGCGGTGAATTAGGAGCAAAATTAGAAAACTTGCCTCAGGAGTTAAGAGCTAAACTGAACCTTGAAGTAGAACAAATGTTTAGTCAGGAAATTCAGAGTCTAATGGGTAGTTTAACCGGAAAACTTGACCTTGCTAATTTAGCCTCGGGGAGTAATTCCGAAGTGGCAGCTATGTATAGACAGTTAATTGAAGATTTAAAAGCCGGACATGAAGATTACAAAACACTCAAAGAAAACTTAATTGAAGAGATTAGAACAGCCAAAAATCAAGCCCAACAGGCTCTCGTTAGCGAGCAAATTGAACATGTCAAAACTAAGCAAAATAAAGAAGATTTAATTCAACAGATTAAACAAGTTCTGGGCTTAGACAAAAAAGATGAGTTAGCCGAAAATTGGATCACCCAAATAGTTAAGCAAGAAGAATTAGTTCAGGAGCAAGCTGCCCATAACTTAACTAAGGAAAAATATCAAAATTTACAGACTTCTTATTCTTCCTTAACCAAAGAATTACAAACCGAAAAAGATAATCATGCCAAAACTAATTCCGCTTTAATTACGGAACAAACCGAACATAAAAAAACCAAAGAACAGTTAGCAGCTGAAAAAGAAGTTCTTCAAAAACTCCAAACTGAATTTGAAAAAGAAAAACTGGCAGCAGAGGAAACAATTCGCTTGGCTAATGAAGCAAAAGAGGCAGCTATTCAAGAAAAAAACGAAGCCGAAGTAGCCCGGGAAGCTAGCCAAAAGTCAGTTACGGAACTAGAAAAACAATTAACTGAAAAGGAAAATAAAAATAATGAATTAACGACTCAGTTTGCTGAAAAAGATCAACAAATAAAAGAGTTACAAAACAATAATAATTCACTTACTGAAAATGTTAAAGAATTGAAAGAATGCTTAGAAAATTATCAAAAATACTTGCACAGCCAAATCCAAGAAGCTGAGGAAGCTTTAACTGCCCCATTCTTTACCGAAGTGCAACAACAAGAAATCGGTCAAGAAAAACAAGAATATGAGGCTAAAATCTTGCAAATAGAACAATTTATTAGAAAGGTATAGTATGTTGAAGAATTATAAGAATAAAGTAAAAGAATTGCTAATTAAAAATCAAGAATTAGAAAACCAAATCAAGGTTAAGTTAGGTCTATCGGAAACCGAGGTTCTCCCAGCAGATTGAGAAAAAGAATTTGTGGAAAAAAACGAAGCGGTCGAAGTTAATGAATTAGTAAAGAAATACGAAGAAGATTTAAAAGCATCCCACGAAGCAATCCGTTTGGCAGAAGAAACCAAAACGGAAATAGAAAGTAAGTATGTTCAGGAAAGATTGATTAAAGAGCAAATTTTACAGGAAAAGGAAGAATTAGAGACAAAATTAAAACTAGTTAATAAGACCGGGAAAAAAGCTGAAACTACCCTGGATATAGCCGAAGAATTAAGCGAAAGTGTAGGCAGTGAAAAAGAAGAAGTACAACCAACACTTCCCGAAATCACTGTTGATGATTACGAATCCGAGAAAGAAGAGTCTGTTATACAATCAATTGAATCCGAGCAATGAAAGGAAAATTTACTTGGCAAGCAAAAAAAACTAACTGAGTTAGAAGGTGAAAAAAAACAGTTAGAGCAAGCAGTAAAGGACTTACAAAAAAAAGGCGTTGACGAAAATGAGTTAGCTACCAGTCAAGCAAACTTACAGGCTAAGAAAAAAGAATTAGAAGAGTTGCGAAATCAATTTGAACAAGAGAAAACAGCTTGGGAAAAACTTATGTTAAAAAAAGAAGTTGAAGCTCAGCAACAGATTCAACAATTACAAGATGAAAGAAATCGCTTAGCCGGAGAAAAGCGAATTTTAGAGGAGTTGTTGGCCGAAAGAAAAGCAGAATGCCAAGAAATAAGCAACCAATTGACCGAAAAAGAGAAAGAATTGCTAAAAACTAAACTTGGGCAAGAAGAATTAGAAACTTTACGAGCTGAAAAGGCTAGATTAGAAGGAGAATTAAGAGGAGCAGAAAAAGACCAAACTCGCTTAGAAAACAAGTTAGGGGAAACTGAACAAGAGTTACAGACCAATCAAAAAGCCGAAGATTTATTATTACAAGAGCAGTTACAAGAAAGTGATTTATTGTTAACAGTTAGTTCCACCGAAGTTAAAGAAAAAACTTTAAAAGAAAAGTATCCTGGTTTAGCCAAGTTGCTTAATGAAACTAAAAACAAGTTAAAAGCAGACGATTATAAATGACTAATTAAAATTTTTGAAGCCCAAGAAGAATTAATAGGTTTAGAAAATCGAGTTAATCCTAGACCTAAGACTAAGGAAATTTCCGAAGCGAAGTGAAAGTTAAGAAGTTTCCAAAGTAAGTTAAAAAAAGAGAAACTGGGAGAAGTTTTAATTAAAAGTAGGGAATTGATTGAAAAGCAAGTTAAATCACAACCAACTTCTAGTTCGATGAAACGTAGTGGCAGTGCTAGTCCAATGCGAAGACAATTAAGTAATCCTCAGCAAGCACGAATTCAACAAAGTGAATTACCGCCTTTTTTTAAGAAAGATTAATTAAATAGTCCAGCAAACTTGAACAACTTATCAACACAAAAAAATAATCAGTCCATTTTTTAGATTACTAAATTGCCTTCTCGAAATAAGGAATAATTAACAAAAAACACCCCATTTTAAATTTAATAATTACATAGGTTTAAACTTCAATAAATTACTTAAATCACTATCTTTAATATACAAAGCAGTGGTGCTTATCTTACTATGACCTAAAACTTTCTGTAAAACTGGCAAAGGCATGCCATTTAAAGCATTATAAGTGGCAAAGCATCTCCTTAAAGTATGTGGGACTAGTTCAATATTTTCTTGAATGTCTAGTTCTTTTTTCACCTGCTGTAAGAAATCAAAAAAACTAATTCTATTGGTGGTATTGGGTTTTCAATTTCTTTTTTTTAATTCTTTAATTACTTCTGGACTGATGTATATTCAGCGTTCCTTAGCTCTTTTACCTCTCAGTAAATATAATCCTTTGTATTCTGGTGATTGGTGTTCTAAATTTGGATCAAAAGAAACCGCTTCAGTTATTCGCAAACCCGCTTTTCAACAAAGCAAAAATAAGCATTCATGTTCGGCTTTTTTGGTTTCGCCTTTTTTGTTTGGACGGCTAATGATATAATCTCAGGCTTGTTGGAGAAGCTGATTGGTAGGGAGAATGGTGAGGGGTTTTTTAAAATTTGGCATATTATTCTTGAAATTTGTCCGAAAACTCTTTTTTGATTAATTTAAATAGTTTAGACACGGATATTATCTCTTCGTGGTTCAATAATTACTTTTACTTCAGCAGGAGAAAATAACTGGCTAACTACATTCATCAAATAGTCTAGGTTAAACTTACTTATTTGACAAAACAAAATGTCTTCTAATTCAACTTGGTTTAAATGAAGTTTACGAGCCATTGCTTCGTCAGATAAATTATTATCTTCTTGGTAGCCTAAAATCTTTTCACAAATTTCGTATTTAGTTTTCTCTGCCGTAGTGGCATTTCTCGGCAAAGCCCAGGAACCCTGACCAATATTTTTGGAGTCTTCTAATTTTTGAAGAATTTTTTGGAATTTTTGCTCTTCTTTTTCACTCATTCTTTCTTCTTTTTTTATCATATTTATAATTTTTAACCTTTCAAACACTTTTTCTTACCTTTCGTTTTAATTTGGTTTGGTTTAAGGATTAATTCTCTTGTTCTTTCTTACATAATTGACAATTTTGTTAGAAAGTTTTTAGTTATCGCGAATGAGTCGTGCGAAAAATTTTTTTTTTAAGGTGTGAATATAATAATGCTAAAAATAAAGTATAAAAAAAGCAATGACAAAAAAGAAAAATAAAAACAATCAAAAAACTAGTCTACAAATTTTTTTAGAAAAAATAAATAATGAAAAACTTGCCATCCTTCGAGCAACTAAAAATGAAAGAGAAATTAATGATTTGCTAAGAGAAGCCAACAACTATCTCACTAATTACTTAACGGCTAGCGAAGATGAAAAGATAAGAAGCATAATTAAGTAACTTAGGGAAATAAAACTAAGCGAACACTTGGAATTTCAAGACGAAGTTTTGGAGTTTGATGTCGAGCAAGATTATTATGAAATTTTAGAGGTAGAGGAAAATGCAAGTTCAGAAGAAATTAAAAAAGCCTGTAAAAAACTCTGTTTTAAGTGGCACCCTGATAAAAATAATGACTCTGAAGAATCTAAAAAGAAGTTTCAAGAAATTCAAAATGCTGCTGATATCTTGCTTAGTGATTCGACTAGGGAGCACTACGACAGTTTGAGAAATTTTGGTTATTCAGAAACTTCTTATTCTAACTTTACTTATAGGCAATCTTCTGGGTACGGTTGAGGAGGCAATTGGGAGGAAGAGAGTTCTCCTCGAGGAGGTTGAGAAAGTGAAAGAGAAGAATATTGAAGTGGCGGTTGAGGAGGAGATGAGTCTACTACTTATGATCTACTGGAAACTAAAAGGGCTAATGTTATTCAGGATATATGAAAGCAGTTAGAAGTTTTGCCGAAAGTTTGAGTAAGCGAACTTAACGACACTCTTTGGGTGCCTTATGAGAATTTCACAGATAAATTTGATAGCCTATCAACTGAGGAAGAAATCAACGCTTTATACTTTAAAATATTGGAGGACATCGAAAAGAAACGTAGAAATAAAAATAATTTGTCCGGATTGAGAACAAACTCCATAAAAAGAATAGAAAATTTGCTTAAAGAAAACCAAATGGGTTTAGAAGACATCGATAAAAAAGAATACGGAAAGTTATTTTTGGCTTTTGGTTCTAATCATGATTGCCTAATACTTGCAAATTATAAGCAACATATCAACAATTGTTTAATGAAAATAAGTGATATTCAAGTTTTTGAAAATCGTTTGGTTGAATTAATCAAAAGTGAGCAAAAGAAACTAAAAAAAATTAAAGAACAGATAGTAAAAGAAATAAAAAAAGAAATCTTTCCTTTCAAGTTAGAAGAAGAAATGGAAGGTTTTGAGACTAGCACTTGAAGTAATTGAGAAAAAGAGATATACAATAAAAAAAATCTTCATGACGTAAATGAATACAAAAACAAATTTCTCCAGTTTATACGAAGAAAACTTATCAACAAACGCTTAGAAAAAACTAGAAGTGAGGCTTTACAAGAAATAAAAGAAGCACTTAATCCTCAAGGTCAATTGGCTGTCCAAGTAAACGAACTAGGGGTTATTTTTTCTAGCACAGGTTTTTGTTCTTGTTTCGGCTACCAAACTTACAAGGAGCATATTAATAAGCATCTAAAAGAAATTATTCAAATAATAAATTTTAAAAATCAAATAATCAGTTCAATTAATAACAAGCGAGAAGAAAAAAGGAAGTCACGTAATCAGCGCAAGAAAATTCGAAGGCAGTTGGATAACTTTTTAGAAAAAACTATCGCTAGTGAACTTAACAAAATCGAGAAAATTGAAGAGATTGATTTATTAATTGAAAAGGCAGAGACTTTTCTAGCAAATGGACTGTATATAAATGAAGAAAAGCGAGAGATCCAAGCCGCTAAAAGCAAATTAGAAAGTAAAAAAGAAGCACTAAAGAGCCGAAGTCAAGCAGGAGAGGAAAAAGATAAAATGATTTTCCAATTGCAAAATTCATTGAAAAAAGTTAGTGAAGAGAGCCAGGTATTAGTCGGAAAAGTTAAAAGTTTAGAGGCGAACCGGGAAGTAGTTCAAGGAGAAGTTGGACGGTTGCAGCATGAGTTTAAAGAAGAAAAAAGCAAAAATACGCGACTCCAAAAACAATTAGAATTTAAGCAAAAAGAATTGGAGAGTAAGGAAAAAGAAAATATTTCTATTCAACAGAAATTAAAAAACCAAAACGCGGAATTGGATATGCTGAAAGCAAAAGTTTCGACCCAAGAAAAATTAATCGATCGATATTTACAGAAGCAAAAAAATGAGGTAGCAGAATTAGAACAGCAATTGTCTAGCCTCCGAATACAGGATATAGAGATGGAAGCTAAAACGCAGCAGGCTAATTTTCCACCTTTTGGAAAGAAATAAACTTAACCCTGTTGCCGATTTAGTTTCAAGATTTTTTTAGAGTACCAAAAAAACGCAGCTAGCCTTTTTAAATATTTCTGGGGGCAACTGGATAATTTGAGCAGTTTGAGTTTGCTGTCAACTTTTAACTTTTGAGGTTGGCTAATTTGTTGTTCTACTAATTGTGTTATTTCTGCTTTTTGAGTAGATACATTATTTTTTATTAGATCCAGGAGTGCCGTAAGGTTGGTTAGTTGGTTGAAGAATCTGAGCAGTTTGCTGTTCTTGATCGTGGAGCTCAAGTAATTTTTCAACTGTTTCTAAATTTTTTTCTAATTCTTGAATCTCTTTCCTTAATTGCTTATTTTCCCGATTAGTTTCTAAATAATCGTTACTAATTCCACAAAGAATATTCTTCAAGACTAAATCTTCCCGAGGTGGATTTTTCCGATAAAAATTATCCATTAATTCAGCACTTTCTCGGTTGGTTTCTCTTTCTATAACCAGTTCTTCATTCTTGACTTGAATTTGCTTTTTAAGGTCAGTTTTTTGTTCTTGCAACTGTTTGTTTTCTTCTTGTAATGCTTTATTTTCTTTAGTTAGTTGAATTAAACGAGATTTTTTTCATGACTTTAGGTCATAATTATAGTCCTCATTTTCGCTACGAAAAAGCTCTAACTCTTGATAGATTTTACTTAATTCATTTTCTTCACTTTTTTTGAAATCACAAAATAAAAACTTAATGCTTTCTGGCAAATATTCAATTCCTCCTTCAATATCCGTGTGCTTAATGTCTAATAATTCCAAATCGACTAGTTTTTCTAAAGGTTCCAAATTTCCATAAAAACGATTATTTCCTATTATTAACTTTTTAAGCGACCAACAACTATCCTGTGTTTTTCTAAAAACCGATAAGTCTTGGGCAGAAAAGTCATTATCACTTATATTTAATTCTTTCAGCGACCCCGAAGATTTAGGTAATCAATTTAATTCAGTCAATTCGTTATTTGAACAATCAATTTTTCTGAGAAAAATGAACTCATCAGGTAACTTTATCTCCTTTAACCGGTTGCTAGGGCAATATAACTCTTCCAAACGTCAACAATCACTAAGGTCTAACGAATTTATTTGGTTATAAAAACAACGTAACTCCTTTAAATTTCGAAAACCCTTTAATTTCAAGGATTGAACAGGCTTTTTTCTAAAAGTAATTTCCTCTAATTCTTCGACTTTCGACCTTATTTCCGGAGGATAAAAGTAATCCAATCATTCTTGAGCAGTTAATTTTTTTTGCCATTCTCTATATTCTTCCCTTAAAGATTGAATTTTACTAGCATCAATTCCTTGGGGGCTATGGTCTTCCTTAAGCAAATAATAAGCAAAGTTGTAGTCACTGAGACTTAAGCCAGAGTCGATTCATTCTTCGTGTTCTTCAGCAGCAAAACCTTTTTCTCTTCATTTTCCTTTTTCTCTTTCTTCTCTGCTATATTCCTTTTTCAAACTTTTAATGTATTCTTTAGTTGAACGTTCAGGAGTGCAACCTTTTTCTTCTACTAACCAGTCAGCGAAATATACATCTTCCGGTTCTAGTCCTAATTCGATCCACTTCTCAGCTTCGGCATAACCAAAACCTCATTTTTTTCATTGTTTTTTTCAGTAGAGTGTAAAACCAGAATGAATGCTTGTTCAATCTTTCATAATATTATAATTTTAGCAATATTTGCCAGTTGCACTGTGAAAATGCAAAAGGCGACTCATTTTGGAAAAGAAAGAGAAATTGTTTTGAATTTATTGTTTGGGTTGATAACTTTGCTGAATTTGAAGAGCTTGCTGCTCTTGTTTTTTCTCTTCTTGCAGTTGAAGATTAGCCAACTGCTTTTCTAACTGTAAAAATTGTCAAAAATGAGATGACGAATACGAAGGAATAAAACACGACGGGCGGATTTTTTGTTCCTCTGATCGCGAAAGTGAATTAATGTAAATCAGGATTAAGGCTAAATCGCACGGTAATTTCCCTTTTGGGAGTGTGTTTGTCTCTCTCCACTAAATTAACCTTGATTTGCCCATTTTGATAAGCCTGTAAACCCTTGCGAATTAGTTCTGAAAGTGAAGAGTAAGTATAATTATTTCTCGCTCATTGTGATTTTAGCATATTCTCGGCTTGCTGGCACAAATGGGCGTTTAGAGCAAAAGTAATTCGCATGGAGCGGTTAAGTTGTTTGATTTCTTCAACATTGATTTGTTTAGTGATTTTTCGCATAGTGGTTGAATAATTGGGTAAAGATTTCTTGGGCTTGTTGGCTGTCTTTTTGGATGAAAAAATTATCTTTATTTCCATTCAATAGTGAACCATACAAAGCAGGGCGCTGGGACAAGGGAGACAATATCACTCCTGCTTTCATGTCCCGTCTCGTCTCGTTTAATTGCTGTAAGCCTTCTTTTTGTTCTTTGGTTTTTTGGTAGCGGTTGGGGAGAAAGTAAACTCTTTTTTGTCTTTCTTTGGGGAGAGACTGAAATCAAGGAATAATGACTTGTAAATCAACATAATGGGGAACAAAAGGGACTAAAATAATGTCGGCTTGTTTGATATGAGTTAAATAACCGCCACTTACTCCAGCTGTGTCGATTAGCTGATAAGCTACTGGGGGACGAGACGAGACGTGACGTTTTTCTTGGGAGCAATTATTAATTCAAGCTTGGAGGGCTTGATTGGGGTCAGTGTCGATTAACTGGACTTTTTTATTGAGGTGATTTAGATATTCGGCTAATAAGGCAGCAATGGTGGTTTTGCCAGTTCCTCCTTTATTGCCGGTAATGACTATTTTAGTGAAAGGCATGACGAGACGAGACATGATTATATAGTTAGTTTTAGGGACTTCTAGTAATAATTAACCAAAAATTAGTTAAAGAAATTGACCAAGCCTACCAAAATGGTTTGCTCTTTCCGAGCAAAGTTGTCTATAAAAAGTTTCTCTGTCTCCTAAAACACATTTTCATCCATTATTGTCAATGGGGAGATAAATTAATCCATCAATAAGGTTTATCAGGTAGCATTTCCCTTCGCTATCCTCGTCATGAAAACTAATAAAAAGATAGTTATCTAAGCGGTAAATCCGATTATAATCTACCATGTAACTATCATCATCTCCTTCATAATACGGAAATGGAAGTGCGTATTTGTCAAAGTTTTCATCAAAACTAATTGATTGGTCCACCATACTTGCGTAAACAATTTTACAAATTTTACATGTCTTTTTTCTTAATTTTCTGATTTCATTTTTTTCTTTTTGTAGATCTTTTTCAAGTCTTTTTATTTTATTGACAAAATAAATTAATAATGCGAAAAATAACAGAATTGCAATTGTAGTTAAGATAGTTGTAACTATTACATCTGACTTTTTATAAATGGAAATTGTGCATGAAATTACTAATAATATTTCAGCGGTTATTCCAATTAATTCAAGGTGTTTTTCGTTTGTATATTTGGAATGTTTATTTCTTCTTTTTCTAGCCATTTAATGAGGTATTTTTAATGATTTTCTTGGTAAATATTCTTCGTATTCAGCGTTTTTTGACAGACTAATTCCCTTATTAATTGTTAGGAAAGTAAAAAAGGAATAATCCCAACTCCATCGCCCAAACTGTCTATGCTAGTTTCCCCCATACCCCAATTAGTCCCGTTGGGTAATTTTCCCAAGCGGACAAGAAATCTTTTAAATAGTCTTTTTCAAGCCGTAAATTTTACTGCTCCATTTCAGCACCCCCTTAATGGTTAACTCTGTCTTTAAAATTAATCGCAATTATCCAGCAACCACTTTTTTATATTCCCAAAGCATTTTTTTCCTTGCGGGTCTTTTTGGCGAATAATTGCTTTTTGGTGAGATTTGGTGAATATTATCGTCAATTTGTTTTATACTGCTGCTTTCTATTTTCGCGGTAATTATGGCAAAGTTTCCTCCGCCAATTCCGAGCAAATTCATTTATTTTTATGCGTCTTTTTCCCAGATTAATGGTTGCTGGCTTTTTCTTATTTCTGGCGTAAGAATTGAGCCAAATTTAGCAGTTATCGCCTGGTGATTAACGCTTTTTTGTTGGTTTCCTTGAATTTTATGCTTGATTTGCTGGCTGTTTGGTGGCAATTATGGCTCCCAAGGGTTTTTTTTCAATCGTTTTATTTGGCGGGTGAACCCCCTGATTATCTTTTGAAATTACTAAATTTTTAATAAGAAATTTTTGACTTAACCCCTGCCCTTTGTTCGGCAAGCCGCCCAAAGTGAAAAAAATAACCAAATTCCTATTTTTGTCAAGGAGTAAATCCACAGGCAAAAATTTTTTTCTCCTTAGAGCGAAGTAATTTTTACGCGAAAAAACCATAATTCGGTTATTTTTTCCAATTCCCCCAAGACAATTGGGGAAATGGCACCCTAGCGGGACTAATTTCATTTAATTATGAAAAATTCATTAATCGATAATCAGGGACTTTCTCTCCCTACTGAGAAAAAAACTAAATTGGAAGTTCAAATTGCCGAACTGCAAGCCCAAGAAAGACAAATTTAAAAGCAATTAAAAATTTGAGAGAACAAACTCAAAAAAGCGAATAATTTAGCTAATTGTTTAGAAACTGCTAATAAATTTGGCAAACAATTATTAAATGAAGTGGTAGAAAAAGAAAAAAACCAAGAGCATTGAGCGTGAGAGTACTTGCTTAAAAATAAAATCGAATTTGCTTTGAAGTTTGGAGTTGGTAGTGAAACCTTTACCGAATTGATTCGCCAAAGCATAGCAAGGGAAGTAAAAACTTTGCGGAATAAATTAGACAACGTAGGGGAATTAGCAGGTGGGTCAAAGAAGAAAAAGCCAAAAACTTTTATGTTTATTTTATCGGGATAGTTTTTAGTTATCATATAAAAATACAATATCATGAAAAAGGTAGTAACAAATAAAAATCAAGAAATAAACAAGAGAGGAGGAGTAATCAACTAGCATGGTAAATGCTCAAAACTGGCTAAACAATAAATATCCTAACAAACAAGAAACTAAAGAAATTAAAGCAAATGATTCAGAACAACTTCACGGTTCCTTAATCATCACTGATTATCCTAATTTAGAAATAATACATATTCCTGATCAAAAAAACCTCACCCAACTGCAAATAATTAATAATGAAAAGCTTGAAATATTGGATGTTACTAATAATTACCGATTAACCAGTTTAAATGTTCAGGATTGTCTTAATTTAAAGAAACTTTATTGCTGAGATAATAAATTAACTAACTTAGATTTAAGTCATAATTTAAACTTGGAAGAACTAATTATTAGAAATAATAACTTTGCTGAACAAGATCTAAATTTTTTAAAGAATTTGGTTAACTTAAAGAGATTGGAACTAGGAAATGATAACCAAGAAAAAATCCAGCAAGGAATTTATAATCGTTTTGTGAGTAGTCTAAAACCTTTGCAGAATTTAAGTAGATTAGAAAGATTTGATATTAGAAATACTGACCTAGATTCTGGTCTAGAATATTTGCCAAAGAGCATTAAGGTTTTTAAATACTCAGCAGACAAAAGAAAAGAGGCTAAATGCCGAATTATTGAAGAACAACTTGCTTCTCACAAAAACAGACTAGAGAGCTGAAGAAAAACTAATAAAGAAGCACTCAAAAAAGTTCAAAAAGAAACATGAAGAAAAAAAGGATTCAGTGAAGAAGAAATTAAAAATTGAACAGATGCAGGTATTGAATTAGTCGATCACGACTTTGCTGATTGGCTTAGAAACATTAAAAAAGTTGATGTTGAGTGAATTTTAAGTAACGAAGAGGACTTTAAAAACTTAAAAGAAAGTTATAAAAACTATGGATTATGCAAGGAATGCCAACAACCCAACACTGAAATTTATTTATGTCAGCCATGTGCTTTCCGCTACTCTCAACAAAATCCTGAAAAGCGAATTAGTGGTAATCCGAAAATCGATCAGTTTATCCGAAGATTACAGTCTGATGGAAAGCAATTGGAATGAATTCCTTATGAACAATTTGCTGATATCGAGCATATTGCTGATGGAGGTTTTGGTAAAGTGTATAAGGCAGAATGAGAAAATAAAAAAATTGCTTTAAAAATTCTCGATAACTCCCAGAACGTGGCGGCTAATTTTTTACAGGAGGTAATCAATCATAAAATGGATAATGATAATGGCACGATCGTTGGATGCTATGGAATTTCTCAAGATCCTATTACTAAAAATTACGCGATAGTGATGCAATATGTTCCTGATGGCAACCTAAAACACTACTTGGACAAAAATAGTCATAAAAATTTGCAATTTAGAATCTTGCAATTACACTATATTAAAGATGGATTAAATACAGTTCACGAGAATGGACTGACACACCAAGACTTTCATCCCGGAAACATACTAAATCATGATGACCCCAACACCATTATTTGGTGTAAAGTTGCTGATTTAGGCTTATGCCGACCGGCTGATGAAAAGGACGATGGGAAAAGATACGGAGTATTACCTTATGTGGCTCCGGAAGTACTTAGAGGAGAACCATATACTCAAGCTTCAGACATTTACTCTTTTGGCATTATTGCTTATGAAGTACTCACTGGCTTGCCTCCTTATACAACCTATGACTCCAGAGAAAAGTGTTATAAAGAATCACCTCATGATGCTGATTTAGCTTTAAAAATTTGTCAAGGATTACGACCCCAATTTCAGATTAAAATACCACCACTGTTAGAAAATTTGATTAAACGTTGTTGGGATGCTAATCCTATGAAGCGTCCGGCTAGTCTTGAAGAATTAACTTTGGGTGGTTGATGGGGAGAAGTCAGAAGTAGAAAAGATACTGAGTTTTATCGTCAATATAAGGAAATTGAAGAATATAACCAAAAATTACCTGAAGAGATAAAATTTCCTAAATATAAATCCCATAAAGGGACAGTTTATACTAGCAGGCTTTTACCAACCAGCGAAATTGCTAATCTGCTTCAACTCCAAGAAATTAGTAGTGAATTGAAAGAAACGGTGAGAGGTTATGTTAAGGCTAAAAACAAATCGCTAAAAGACCAAAAAGATGCCCAAGCAAAAAAAAATGTCCGAGAACTAGAAGAGAAACTGGAAGAAGAATTGAAAAAGAGAGGGTTTGCGACGGAAAAAATGGATGAAATTATTCGTTATTGTGAAAATTATCATCTACTTGAGTTAGAACAAAAGCAAATTTCTGTTCAAGGAAGCCAAGATCAGCAAACAACTAATCAATCTTCTACTTTAGTAGTGGAATTGGAGCAAAGTAGTGAAGAAGAAATCAAGCTTTCTTTTAGACAAGCAGAAGAGGGGGTTGAGCAACCTGCGGATAACCAAGTTAATACTAACCCTCAACAGTCAGAAATTTCAAATACTATAGACACTGAAGCAAGTGAACAAGTAGCGGTCGTTCAAAATCCTCCTAACAATAGTTGATGTTGCTGACCTCACAGAAGAATAAAATAAAATATTATGATTAACAATCAAGAATGGTTCAATAAGGAATATCCTAAAGAAGAGAAAGAAATAAAACTTAAGCGAGAAGACTTCCAAGGAAAATTAGTTGCTGAAGACTATCCGAACTTAGAAAAATTATACTTGCGGGACATTAAAAACATCGACAAAATAACTCTTAGAAACCTACCTCAACTACAAGAATGCACCATCTGAGACTGTAGTCTGCAAGATTTAGTAATTGAAAACTGTCCTCAGATAAAAAAATTAAATGCCCGCAAAAATCTTTTAACTAGTTTAGGATTTTTAAAAGGTTTGGAAAGTTTGGAATAATTAGAGATAGATGGCAACACTGAAATTACTTTGGATTTAGAGCATTTATCCAAGAGCTTAAAAAACTTTTCGCTAATCAAATTAGTTGAGAAAAATTCCCTAAAATACAACGACTTAAAAAAATTCATCAAAGAAGTTATGCTTTCGCTTTCTCCAAAGGCAAAAGATGAATTAGTGATTGAGTTAAGAAAAAGGACACAAAGAAAAGATAGTATTTCTGCTCCCGGAAGCACAAAAGAGTTAATACTTTATGCAAAAGAAGCTGTCGAAAGTGCAAAAGAATTAAAAAAAGAGTTAGAAATTGAGTTGGCTAAGTCAGAGACAAAAATTCAAGAGTTGGAAGAGAAACAAGTCCTTTTTGAAGAGCAAGAAACTAAGATCAATTACCTTGAATTAAGAGTCCAAGAGTTAACCAACTTAATCAAAACTCAAAAACAAAAAATCATTCAAGACTTTTTAAATGTTTTACCAGAAAAAGAGTTAATCCAGCAATTAATTACTACTTATTTAGAGTTCAAGAAAGCAGAAAAACAAGGTTCTCCTTCTCGCAAACTTAAAAAGGAGTGTAATAAAATTGAAGATGTGTTGGAAGAGAGACAGGGTGAAGATTTTGTTGACAAACTTCAACCTATCTTAAGTGATTGTGAAAAGCTAGTTGATTGAGAACTAGAATTAGAAGAAAGACTAAAAAACAAAACTATCTATATAGAAGAACAAAAACAAACCTTAAAACAAATAACTTATAACAAAGAAGAAAAAGCAATTGTAGAAAAGCACGAAAAAACCAGCCAAGAACAAAATAAGAATTACCAAGAACTAAAACTAGAATTAGCCGAAATGAAAGGGCAAATTGCCATAATAAAAGACAGACCAACTCAACAATTTATTATTTCAGGAACTAACCAGCAAGTGTCCACAGGAAATAATGCAATCTTTAATAATCAAACTCAATATAATATTCAATATCAACAACTGGCAAAGGATGTAGAAGAAAAAACCAATGAAATTTTAACTAATCAAGAAATTACTCCGCAAGAGCAAAAGGCAATCAACCAGGTTATTCTTTTTCTTGGCACCAAGGAACTCTTTATTAATTATCGGCAAGCAGTCCTTAATAAATTAATTGATTGCTATTGTAGACTAGCAAATAAAAGTAAGTCCACCAAACTTACTACTTTTAATAGTATGATGGGTATTACTAGCAAAATAGCTAAGGCAATTCCCGGAGGAGAAGTAGCCGAAACCTCAATGGGAATCATTGGAGACACTATTAATTTAACCGGAACTCTTATTCAAGAAAAAAATTTAAAAAAGTGTCTCAAGAAAATTCAAGAAATCTTTATTAAAGATAAAATAAACCTTTCTTTGTTTGATAAAAATTATCAGTCTCTAGAAAAGGTTGTTTGAAGCATTGCTGAACCAAGCCGAGTAACCATGGAGACTATTAAAATTTTAGCTCTAGTTAAAGATAAACCTTACCCTTTTAGTGCTGACCATGATGTTTTTAAGGTTGGAGAAATTTGGGAATCAAATCTTCTCAACCTTAGTTTGGAAGAGTTAAAAACCTTCCTAGAAAAACTTGATAAGAGTTTAGAAAGTTTTAAACAAGGATTTCAAGAGCAGAGAACACAATTAGCTGAGCAATCCTGGTTTAAAGCAATCGAAAAGCAAACTGATTTATTGAAAGAGCAAACTCAAGACTGACAAAACATTCATTCTAACTTTACTGAAGAATTAATTAAAAAATGAACAAGCTTAAAGCTTAATTATATGCAAACAAAAGATTGAATAAATATTGGTCTCCACCCTACTGATTATGAATTAGTTGCCTGACTAAAAAACATAAAACAAAAAACTTCCGAAGAAATTCCAAATCAGGAAAATTTGGAAAGTTTAAAAGTTGAATTTATTCAATATCAGCAAATTCAACAAACTGCACAGATTATCCAATTTAATCGCTAAATTAGTCTTCTGCTTGCTTCTTTTTATATTTTTCTTTGGAAAAAAATTTCTTTTCAATCATCGATTTAGTTCAAATCAATAGCCAAAAAAGAGCAGAGATTACCGTCAAAGCCACCGGTAGCCAAACGAGAAAAAGTAGCGCCGGCTTTCTAGCTAAGAATTGAAAGACTTGATAGGGATATTTTTTTAGATAAAGGCTAATCTTGCTTTTGGTAGTTTGGTGCGAATTATTTTTTCCATACCGAATTAATTAGCGAATGATTGTCATCCACGTAAAGGTCAAAATCAGGATGATTATCTTGAATAATCTCTCAACGATGAGGTCTATTGTGCCCTTTCATTTTTTTAATTTCTCGGTTTTCTAGTCGAAATTGCGGAAAGCTGCCAAAAACTTTATTAATTTTGGCGGATTTCATGGCTACTTCTTGTTGCAACAAATCTTTAACTTCTTGGCTTTCTTTTTCATCCGGCTTACGAAATTGCCTGCTTGAATTGGTAAAGTGCTTTTTCCTGCACAAGTTCCTCCTCCGATAAGAATCAGTATTGGTTTTTTTGACATTATTATTTGGGTGGAATTTCTATTTTAGTTTCTAATCGTTCTTGAGCAAGAAACTGTTTAATCTGAGTTAAATGTTCTTTTCTTCAAGTTGAGTAGTCATAGTAAATAGAAAGATCTGTATCTTTTTTGGCATAATTTTCTAGCTAGTTTATCATTACAGTAAAGCTTTTCTAAGCCTTCCGATAAATACTCTAATCCACCATCAATTTCAGTGTCTCTATATCTAAAACTTTTAAATTTCTTAAATTCTGTAAAGGTTGGCAACTATTAATATAATTCTTCTAAATTAATTAGAGGAGCAAAAACAGTTAAGTCTTGGGGAGTAAATTGATTATTACCCACATCTAAATAAATTAACTTTTCTGCTTTTACTGAACGGAGAAAATCAAGATTAGTTAATTGGTTATTATTAACTCTCAGCCGAGTAAGTTCAACTCCATTATTTAAATTCAAGTTATTAATGTTACAATCATAGCAAATGAGTTTAACTAAATTATTATTTTTACTTAAATCCAAGGAGGATAATTTTTTGTTATCAAAACAATTTAATGCTTTTAGTTCTAAGTTATTACTAAGGTTCAATTCCTCTAAATTATTTTTGGGGCAATCAATAGGACGTAAGTGTGGGCAATTACTTACATCATAAAGCACTAATTTTATTACCTCAACAACCTAAGCCTTTTAAATTGGTAAAATCTTGTAAATTTAAGGCACCTTCTAAGTTTTGACCAGCAATATCTAGGTAGTTAATTTCTTTCCTTTTTGCTTGGGGATAAAAATGATCTAATCATTCTTGAGCGTTTTTGTTGGTAAAACTAGCATATTGTTGGGGAGTTAATCCAGTCCTTTTTAAGTAGCAAGCTAGTGGAGAATTAGCGGGAATTAAACCAACTTGTTATTCATTGCTTAGTTTGCTGATAATTAAAACCATTTTTTTCTCATTCTTTTTGATGTCTTGATTTAGCAAAATCAGAATGAATTTCTATTCAATTAGTCATAATAGTTATTTTAATAAAATTACTGATATTTTTCTTAATAGTTAGTTTTTTTTGCTTTTTCATCTATCGTTTCCGACACTACATTTATGTCTATTTGGCATGAATTAAGTTAATTTTCACCCCTGATTTTAGTTTTAATTATCACAAAGGGGACATTAGGAATTGATGATAAATGAAAGAGTGAGTTTTAAACTTTTTGCTCTTTTCGCTCGTTTACCAATCGTTTCGCTCTAAGCAACTCGTTTCTTTCAGTTCCCTTTGTCCGCCGATTAATTATTCTTTTGTTTAACTTAAATTATAATTATAAAACAAAAAAATTATGACGGAATGAAAAAATATCCATGCCGATTTCAAGATCAAGAGTTTAGTTCAAGGTTGAAAAAACAAAAGTTTCACCTATGAACAAACGCAAGAATGAATCAATGCTGGTTTAGAACCCCAAGATGCGGAATATGCCGCTTGATTACGAGATGAGCTTACAATAACTCCTTCCGAATTTTCGAGGGAAAGCGAGGATGAACTGCTGCGTGAACAATACCAAGAGTATTTAATCTCCCAAGAGGATGAAATAGGAGAATTAGCCAGAGCACTAGCCACATCATTAGAAACTGACCAAGTTTCTGCCGAGCAAGAGATAGCCAACCTTTCCAATCAAGAACTAGAAAGATACTTGCTAGAAAAAAGGCTAGACTTAAAAAAATATTTTGTTTTTAATATCCAAGAACTAACTACCAAAAAACTTTGTGATGATTTTAAAAATGTCGCTTACAACGGGCGAGCAATCAAGGAATCTCTTGCCGAAGATTTGACTAAATTAGCTATTGCTCATGGCTGAGATAATAGAGAGGCATTTAGCGGAGAAAGCATTAAAAAAGATTTTTTAATTCTTAATAAAGAAAATGGCAAGTCCCCTAACCAATGAGAAAGTAAAGAATTAGACAAGAAAATTACTAACGGAGAAGAGTTATATATTCTTTTTGAAAAAGACGATAATTGAGTTGACTGAAAAGGGCGAATTAATGAGGACATTGTAGAAACCAGTATAGTAAATGTCCGAATAAAACCTTCACTTTATTTAAAGAATAAGAAAGATACTTTGAAATTTTTACGAGGAAGTGGCTTTAAATGTCAAGCAATTTCTTGTCAAAAAACTAGAATTAGCAAAGATGATTATTGTTGCCTTTACCACCAAATTTGCTTGGCTAAATTACGAGAAAAAGAAAATATTCCTGGAACGATTAGAGAGATTGATACTTTCCCCGCTTGGTTTAATGGCAATTGTGGTTATGTAATTAGTGAAAATCGTTCAGCCTCGATGGAATATCCTTTTTACATTTGAATAGTAGTTTATGAACCAAAGGAAAAAGCAATAGAGGAAAGTTTAGCAGCAATTGAGTATAACATTCATTACAGAACTTTAAAGGCAGCACAAAACAAAGTCGAAGAAATTAAAGAGAAATTCCAAGAGGATGAGTGAGAAAATAGTCCTATTTTGTTGGTTCATCCCAAGGCTGATAAGTATGCTGCTTTTACTAGTTTAGTTTGTGAACCTTATGTAGTAAGCAATCAAGTGGGAACTTCTGTCAATGTTTCTGATATATTTCAATGGGAATACGAATATTCAATCCCTGCCGATTTAGATCGACATTTTAGCCCATTAGATATTGTTAAAGTAAAGTGTATGCACGCTATTGCTGGATTGGCTACTGGAAAAAGGTATTATCATTTTGGAGTTGTTTTGGGAAATGATGAAATTTGCCAATTTTCCTTAGAAAAGAATGGTGTAAGGATTACCAGTTGAGAAGAATTTTTAAAAGATACTACTGGAAAGGTAGTTAGATATCATCCCATTATCCCTTTCAAACACCACGAGAAAATAATTCGGCAAATCGTCTGAACGATAGTAGAAAATTATCGAGAAAATAATTATAGTTTACTAAATAGAAATTGCGAACATTTTGCTAATATGTTAGTTTATGGTATTAATTATTCAGAACAAATTGAAAGAAGTAAATCGGCAATTATAAATGCTCACCGAATTGGACGAACAGCGGCGGGAGGCTTGCTTGGTTTAGCTCTTGTGCCTGACCCACAACTTAATAATGGCAAAGGCCCAATCATTAAATTAACTAATGAAATAAAAGAGAGTAATGAAAAGCTTGGTTATTCGAGAGCTGACCACTGGCAAACGAAAGAACTAGAAGCTAGGATACAAGTAATTCCGAAAAAAGATTGTCGAATAATGTAATATGAATGACGAAGAAAAAAAGCCTGCCAATCCCGAACACGGAAATGTTTATTGAAATTATTTTCGTATTCTTACTCCCTATGTTTTTTCTCTCCTTATTTTACTAGTTGTTTTCTATCGTTTTCCGTTGAAGAACAAGCTCTTTATGTTTCTTTCATTTATTTTTTTTGTGCTATTTTCGTTGCTTTGTTTATTAGGTTCAGGGAAATTTGTTGAGTTAGCTTTTTCTCTTTTTTATTTGCCTATTTACTTGATGTTTTTTTTGCTATATTGATTTCTGCGTGATAAAAACCTTTAAATTCAATGTTTAACTTTGGTTTTTTTTGCGTGATTTAATTTTCCTTTTCGCCATTTTCACCAACAATCCACCAATCGTTAATAAAGCAGTCAACAATAAACCAATTCAAATAATCCTTTCTTTGGTTGGTGGTTGAATTATTTCTTTTTGTGTTTGACTAATCACCGGCAAAGATTGAATACTTTGCTTTTGCTCTAAATGTTTTTGAATGAAGGCTTGCCGGACACTAACTACTTGCTGATAACTGGTTGCTTGGGTGATTTGTTGTTTAATAGCATTGTCCACTGCTTGGTTAAATAATTGCTCTAAACTGGTTAGTTCAAGTTGCTTAATTACGGCTAAATCTTCCCCAAAAGGAGTAAGTTCTTTTTCAAGTTCGCTAATAGTTTGGTTAGCTTGGTTTAGTTCTTTTTCTAAACTTTCAATAGTGCTATTATCAGTAATGGTAATTGGGTCTTGCTTAATTAATTGTTGAATTCGGTTAATAACTTTCTCTAAATTAGGTTCTTTTAAATTAAGACTTAAAGAGTTGTTTAATTGTTGGGTTATCTCTTTTTCTCGGGAAGCTAATGTTTCATAATCAGCATGAGAGCAATCAGTTTTTTTGACAATTGGGCAAATATGTGGTTCGGGGAGATGAATTAAAGGACAGATTGGGCAAGTGTGAGGAACAACGACAGGGCAAGCATGATTATCAATTTGGTCTTGTAAACCCTGACTAATATTTTGTTCATTAAGTAATTGAGCTTGTAAATTATCTTTTTGCCTAACCAATTTGTCAGTTAGACCATTTATTCGTTGACGATGGAGTTCTTTGGTAAATATTAACCTTTGCCTTTTATTGCTTTGCTTTTCTAATTTTTTTTCAAGGCGAGTAATTAGTTTAATTAATTCTCTATTTTTCTCTTGGTCAGTGCCTAACTGCTGAGTTAAGAGAATAATTTGTTTCTGTTTTTGCCTTCCTTGGTTAATTAATCTGTCTTTTTCGGTCAACAAATGGACAATATCTTGGTTTTTCTTGTCTAAAGTTTCACCAGCATTGTCTAGATAGCTTTCTAACTCTTGGATATTATTTTGTTTGTTTCTCAAAGAATTTAAAAAATTAGTCCTGTCTTGCTGACCTTGTTGAAGAATTTCGTTTTTTTCTTCTCGATAAGAATTAGCGATAACCTTTTCTTTGTTCAGCTTGTCAACCAACTCTTTTTTTTGTTTAACTAAAATTGTTCTTATTCAATGGTTTAACTTTGCCTTTTCAGCTTTTACTTTTTCAAGGGTTGAGTTTAATTTTTGATACTTATTTCCTAATGCTCCATAATCATTTAAAGTGTCATTAAGTTGTTTTTTTAGTTCATCAATTAAATTGTCTAGGTCTTCGATAGTAATTAATAAAGCGTCATAGTTTCCTTGAAGAGAACTATGATTACCTCTTAAAGTATTATGTTGGTCTTGTAATTCTTGGTGTTCTGTTTCGAGAGCAGTATAATCATTAGTTAGAGTTTCATTTAGTTTTGTTAATTCATCAACTTCTGTTTTTAAGTCAGTAATTTTTTTGCTTAGTTCTTGCTCTCTAGCTTTGTGATTAATTATTTTTTGGTCAAGTCCCTGTTTGTCAGCCATCAATTGAAGAATTTTCACTCCTTCTTCATCTATTTTTATCTGAAGATCTGATGATTTTTGTTTGTAATGGATTTTTCTGTCTAAAACTTGTTCTAATACGCCTCATCAATAATTCAATTCGTTTTGAAGTTCACTATCTAAATTAATTCCTTTGTTCCTGAAACTAACTTCTAATTCTCTTTTTTGGATTTTCTTTTTTAATTGTTGGTCGTTTAGCATGAATTACCACCTTTCTTAATAATTCTCTCTCTCTCTCTCTCTCTCTCTCTTGTTGACAGGCATGAATTAAATTTGTTCTTGACTAAACTTTGAGGATAGACTTCTGTTTTTCACATAGAATTAATTTTACAAAATTAAATCAAAACTTTCATTATAATCGGAACAAAGAATTTACTTTATTTTTGCTTAATTTGGCATGATTTAGTGGGTTTTTTTCCTCTTTTTCTTGTATTTGCCTGGGCTTTTTTGCCAAGTTCTATTTTTCAAACGAACCGGAGAAAAGTTTTTAATGTGGGCTAATATTTTTTTTTGTTTTTCTTTATGCTTTTTTTCTTGTTTGTCTTGCTTTTTGCCGGAGAGTTTTCAATAAATAGTTCATCCTAGTAAAAACACCAGCAAAACAGGCAAAAACAAAACAATTAAGGGAAATTTATTGTTTGACATAAAAAAACTAATATAAAACTATGACTAAATGTGATATCTGCGGCAAAAAATTTAGCGGGAGTATTCTCACTTACAAAGGCACTACTTACTGTCCGAACTGTCGCCAACAAGCCGAAAGCCAAGGCAACGCTCCTTGAAATAAATTTTTAAAACCTGGTGGTCTTCACTTAGGCTGGTGAATTGGAATTGGAGTTCTTTTATTAGTAGGATTAGGAGTTTTGAAAAATAATACAATTTAGATTTGGTTTTCTCTTTTTTGAGGGTTTTAAATACTAAATTTTAATATTACTCGTGCGTATATATGCTACGAAAGAAAATCAAAAAATACAATTTAAAACTTTTTCCTCATTAAAAATATAAGTATTATGAAAAACATAAGTAAAAAATCAAACCTTAAAATAAAAAAAGGAGGTGAAGAATAATGGTTAACTGAAAAGAAATTAGCCCAGATTTTACTCCCGAACTCCAAAAAGAATGAATAGATAAAGGATTTAATGATAAGGAATGTAAAGAGTGGATAGATACTGGCTTGTGACTAACTGATGCTGACTATGCTAAGTGGTTAAGAGATGTAGAAAAGATAACTCCAAAAGTTTCTTCTGACGATAATGAAATTCAGCCGATTGATAGTGAAAAGGAGTATAAGCAATATCAAAGTGAGGAAGATAAAGAATTACGTGAACGATACAAAAAATATTCTCAACAAAAAGAAAAAATTGACCTTATTCCCTTGGATGAATTGAAAAGTAGCCACGAAAGCATAAGAAATTATTACAACAGATGAGGAAATGAAGATAGAGTCCTTGGTGCAGTTCGTTCATCAACAAAAGAAGAAATTATTGATCGCGGTATAGTCGTTTTAAAAATTTTAAATCGAACTTGGATTGCATTTACTGCTCCAACAATAGTAAAGAAATTTTTACCAAATAATAATGAAGGAAATTCAGATAATGAGTTATTTACAATTGAAAAGGGACTTATTCCTTTGTATATCGAGTTTGCTGTTCAATATGCTGAACATGCCAAGAAGCATTGATTTAAAATTGAAGAAAGAAAAAAAAGATTAGATGAACTTAAAAAAGACACTAAAGAGTTTTATGATAATTATCAAAAATCAGTTGAAATTCTTAAATCTGTTGATGTTTCTTTTGTGGAAGAAGAAAAGTTAAAAAAGTTGCTTGAAAATTTGAGAGATAAGGCAAACAAGTTTATAGAAAAGGACGTGAGGGGCAATTTAAGAGAACTTGCTTTGTTAGATTATGATAGTTATAGACAAAAATTTGTTGAAGATAATTATTCAAGTATGTTTCAATACAACTGGTTTGTTGTAGAAGAAAATTTTAGAAGAAATTTTGGTTTTAAATCAATGAGGGAACTTTCTTTCGACAGATGAAAAAAAGATTGAAAAAAAAGGAGGGTTGAACATTGAGAACTCAGATTTTTAACTGAAATCTTACAAGGAGCAATAAGTCAATATAAACAAGGTATTGCTGGCAAAAAGTTAGAAAAGAAGATAGAAGATAATATGTTGAGGTTTGAAGTAGGTCGGTCTTTCTGTAGACTTGCTTCGTTGGATGATATTTCTGATGCTCCAAAAGAATTGAAAGATACCTGTGCTAACTTTTTAGAAAAAATTAATGAGTTGAATTCTGAGGAATTTTTTATCTCTTCAAAAGAGAAAGAAAGCCAAACCAAAGAAGGATTAGATAATCAAGAAACTGAGGAAAGGTTGTTGGGTAAAGATAAAATCCAAAAGTTTGCTTATAATTGGCAAACGAATTGGGATGACAAACTAAGCTGAGATGAAGACTTAAAGAAAATAGTAAATGACTTGGAAAAAAAAGTAGATAAATACTATAAAGAAAAACAAACTCTGCAAAACCAACTAACTGAAATACTTACCGGAGTTCCCCAAGAGGACGCGGAAAAACAAACTCAACTGGAAGCTAAAATCCAACAAGTTAATTTGCCCCCTAAGTAAAAATCTGATGGTACAGAAGCAGAACATATAATTCGAAGCAGAAAATAATCAAACTTCCGAGCAAAATCAAGAACAACAAGCCCTCCAAATCCAACCGGCTTATGGAACACCAGGTTCTAGCAATAAATAGCTCCTCTTAAAAGAAAGAACCAAACAAAAAATCCTGCTAAATATTGAAAAAACGCTTATTTTTTGTCTCGATTGCTTTGTTCTTTTTCTTGGATTTTGGTGGTGATTTATTGGGTTTTTCACCACTGATAGAGGAGAAAACTGCCGCTAATTAGGGCTAAAAGGATAGCAATGGTGGTTATTCATTGTCAAATTTTACTTTTAGTCGGTTTTTTGGATAAGTTATCCATAAATTAGATTTTTCAATCCGGAAATGCTTTGGCAATCCTGGCTCCAATTATTTCTAGAATATCCTGGTAATTTTCTTTTACAAATTCCTTTAATTTAGTTTGGTAGTGTTCGGGAAAATGTCCTCATTTTTTCTCTATTTCCAGGTATTTTTTGTTTAGCAAGTATACTTTTACTTCTCAGTGAGGGCTAATGAAGTGAATATGGAGTAATTCACGGGATTTAGTTCCAATTGGCTGATATTCACGAGCATAAAAATACGAGCGACAGCCTTCTCATTTTCTCCGCTGATCTTTACTAGCAAAAATTTGGTTCATAAAATGCTTAACAAGAGTTTAATCCTTGGGAAATTATTCAGGTGGGCAACACTTCATCGATTTCAGGAAAGAAAATGGCTTGACCATCTCCTCATAACTCATATTTTTTTAATTGTTCGGGTTTAATTTCTGGACTTAATATTTCGAGTTCGGTAAGCAAAGGTATTGGGAAAATTACTTTGCGACCATCATCTAATTGGGCAATTAATTTTTCCTTTTGGACTTCAAGGATAATTATTTTGTTGGTTTCTTTTGGGGTTTGGTGGCGTTTAATTCGGTTCTTTAATTCTCGAATTAGTTCTTGATTGCTAACTTGGCTTAAACTAGTCATAATAGTATTTTTTACTTTGTTTACTGGCTATTTTGCAACCTTTTCATTTAAACTAAAATAATTAACTATAAAAATATAACTATCATGAAAATACCTTACCAAACAGTTTTAACACTGATTCCTTTAATGGAAAACATTACTAGTCAATATCCTCAAGTTAAGGATTATCGACACCTTGCTCGTGAATATGGTGAAGAAATAGCAAGGAGACATAATACTTATTTAAATTGAATTGATTTTGATGCTAATCAGGGGCATACAAGACAATACTGTCGACAAGTAATAGGAGACAGCCCAAAAGAATGCAAAATCACCATTTATCCAAGGAATTTTAGATTAGGGAGAGTTAAAGAAAGTTGACCCAGTGAACAAGTAGTTTATCACCAAAATCATACTAATGATAGCGACATGCCCGATAAGGCTAAACCAGGGGAAGAAATTACTTACCGAGATGTTTACACTAGCACTACTACTAATGCTTTTCATCTTGGTTCTAGTATAAGAGCCGAAGGCAAAGTTGACTTATTGTTTGGAAGTGAAAGAGTTTCGGTTGGGGTTAATTTTGATTGGGATACTTCTAACACGAATAGTGAAACTCACGAATCAAAAAGAAAGTTCACTATTTCAGAGGAGTTTACCTTGCCGCCACGTAGCATAACCGAAATTACTTTACTGATAAAAGAAGGCAATTATGATGTTGATTTTAGTGCTGATATTCTTATTGATGGTTGATTTGTTTATGCTTTTGGAAAAAATGTGGAAATTTTTCCGGGCGATGGTAGATGAGCTACTTATTGATTTGTTGAAGATGCTGCTTTATTTGAGAGGGCAAGTAGGTATGATTCACCATATTTAAAAAGATTAGCCGATGGTTATTGATATGCTTGAAATGGTGATGATTTTGTAGCCAAATATGAAGCCGAAGGTGAACTTAAAGGCGTTTATGGCTACAAAATCGACAGTAGGAAAAAAAGCATTCCTCTCAATAATACTACTCCTACCAAAACGGCTACAAAAACAATAACTGAAACATTTACCCAAACAGCAACCCCTACTAACCAAGTTAATCATTTAGCAGTTAATAAATATTCCTCAGCCGGTTTGGCTTTGTTAACGGGACTTTTTTTGGTTTAGTATAAGCAATTATTAACACTTTTTTTATATTCGTTAAATTCGTTTTTTCTAGCTGAATTTACCCCCAATAACCCCTCTTCTCATATTCCCTAAACAAATATTTCTTTCTCGCAGGCATTTTCCCTACCAAAT